GGCAAAAACTAAAGTTTAGAAAAGCCAGTGTCAGCGAGGTTGGGGGTGACAGATGCTTTTGTACCCTGGGGATGGAAGTGTAAATTTGTGTAACCTGGGGGGAAGGGAACTTGGTATCAAATCCTACAAATGTAAAAGCACTTACCTTTTGAGCAGCAACCCCACTATTAGAAATTACTTCCTAGGGAACTCAAATAATAGGCCATGGTATTACGCAGGGGTGGCCACTGGAGCACAGAGGGGAAGAGCCCCCAAATGGAACTCATCTAATACCCACTGTGGAGATACATAAATAACAGTCATGCAGTTAGTGCTCTGTAGCTACGGAAAAAAATGAGGCAGATTATCTTGCAAGATAGTGAAAGAAAGCAAGAACGACCAATAATACATGCAGTGTGCCCTCATTTGTGTATGTTTTTCAAAGGGCATTCATATTTTCTGGGACGATACACAAAACTATTCAGTGGACCTCTAGGAAATGGAACCTGGGTGTCATTCAGGGAAGAATCTTTACTTTTACTTTCTGTACAGTATGAAATTCTTATGTTTATAATGTGAACTATGTGAAGATCTCCTGAAGTCAGATGCAAAAATGTTAGTCCTAGATTAATGAATTTGGGACAAAAGTGAAGACAATTCTCTAAAACTATGGACCAGGGATTAACTAAATGTATATAGCGTTTTGTGTAGACCGTCAGAACATTTTTTTTGTTTTAAAAAAATTTTTTATGGGGTGCCTGGGTGGCTCAGTGGGTTAAAGGATCTGCCTTCGGCTCAGGTCATGATCCCGGGGTCCTGGGATGGAGCCCCACATTAGGCTCTCCGCTCCACAGGGAGCCTGCTTCCTCCTCTCTCTCTCTGCCTGCCTCTCTGCCTACTTGTGATCTCTGTCAAATAAATAAAATCTTTAAAAAAATTTATTATTATTATTTATGTATTTATTTTTGCTTCTTTAAGACTGGTTTATAACCTCTTTCATGACAGAGCAGCCCAAGATTGGCTCTTTCCCTGCTTCCTGAGGTCTCTATTCACTCCAGTCAACAATTTCCAACCCCCAGAGCTTTAGTCAGTGGTAAGCAGAGTTGATCCATCCCCACTTTGAAGATTTTTGTGGCCAAGGCAGCTATTTGTCTAGCTGGCTGGAGAATGGGCTATTTTTAACTTTAGGGCTTGCGAATTGGTTTAGAGTGCCTTAGAAGAGATAAAGCAGAGGCCAGACGGAAGATATCTCTGACTTTGTGGCTGAAGGTACTTTAAGTCTTGGCACCATAAGGAACAGAGTGAAGATGGGTAGTAGCATTTTAAAAGAGGGAGCTTAAACTGTACATATGCTAATAGGCTTCTAGATTTATCACTTACCTAAATTTAATCACAACTTGATAACTTGTTTTGTGTGCCAAGCATCACTCTCCTGTCCCCAAGGTTAAAATTAAACTTCTCTGAAGGGTTCAAGGGTTCTCATACAAATCATTCGCTCTTAACCTTTTCTGGGTTCAACCCTCTTTGAAAAACTATTGAAAGCTATGGACTCTCCCTTCCCCAAGCTCCCCTCTTACAGGGAAAAGGGATGTAAGAACACACACAATTTTTTTTTTAAAGTTCATGGACACCTAAAGCAAATCCATGGAACCTAGGCTAGAAAGGACCACCACAAATGAATGTTCCTAAACCCTCAACTAACCTTTAAAGTAACTTAACTACCGTAATCACTTATTTAAAAATATGGCGCATCTCTGCTTTATTAAACTATATTCTAAATGTAATTTTACATTTCCATCATGATTGAGGATTATCACTGCAACGTGCTTAATCCAAGAAACAGAAACAGGGCAATGTCCTTAAGAATTTCTGGAAAAGTGCTAGGCTCGAATTTACAAAGATGACTTTATATTTACTGACCATGTAGCCTTGGCTGTCTCCTCCCTTCTTTGTGTAAATTTTAACTGCAGTAAGAGACAAGAAAAATCTGCTCATTAAAAGTCCTTGCATCTCTAACATGGAGTCAAGGGGTTCGTTGCTGAGAGCAGCGGGTGGCAGCTCCACTGTCCAGAGGCCTCTGTGTTCTTCCAATGTGTAGCTGTGCTCTGGTGGCTTGACACTACCAGGAGCAAGAAGCAGGATGAGGGGGAATGCTTTTAATTCTTTAATAAAAAAAATTCTAGCCATTCAGTTTATTAAGTCAAACAAACGCAACTCATCTTTTAACACTCCTTTCAACTGTCATCTTATGGTTAAGGATTTAAGATAGACCTAATTCATACTGAATTTGAGTATGCTTAATACACAAAATGTTGTTTTGGTAGTAGAAATTTTGCTGTGGGATGAAGACTTTGTTGTTCCTTTGATTTTAAAAGAAACCTGCGTGCAACCTTACAGAATGCACAAAGGGTTACAAACAACCTACAGTAGAACTAAGTTATAGGGGCATCACAACTTACAAAATGAACTGTCAGGGTCTGGGCCGTTGGGGCTCAAATCCAAGAATTTTCGTGTCTTTGTGAACGGTTGATATTCTTATTTTTTTGTGACTATGACTGAGCAATGTGAACCCATTTATAAATCAAGCACATTTCAACAGGAAGCAAAAGTGGGCTTCCAAGAGAGTAAATAAATGGTTTCAGTTACTTGTAACAGCAAAGTATCTTTCAGAGGGTCTTATCAGAATCTGTAATTTCTAATTCTGGAGGTGGGAACAGTTTATACCAGGAATTTATGTAAGATGACAACTCATGTCTTCAAATTCAGTAAGAGATTTAGGAAACATGATCTCTCTAATTCTAAGCTTGTAAGTGGAGGCCTCAAAGGATCTCACATCACTGTCATAGGACAAAGTATACTATCACTGAGGTGTTAACTAAATGAATGGGCCAGTGTGTGCTGCCATCACACTCTTGGCTCTATTTGCCACAAGCCATTGGATCAGTGTAAATCTCTGTTCCACGTAACTCTGGGCAGATAGCAAGTAACCAAGATACACAAGGGCCTCATATAAAACACAGGCCCCAAACACCATCCCTTTCACCGGCAATGAACTGTTCCCAGCCATGTACGAACAAGCCTTTCCTCCCCACATGCACACCCAGATTAAATTACATAACCTTTTTTGTGTCCTAGTTTTCTCAGCTTTCAAATGGAGACAATAACAGTGCCTAGCCTCACAGGATTAAATGAGAAGATTAAATGAGGTAGTATCAGCACTTTGAAATAGTGCCTGGCACATATAAAGCTCTAAGGAAGCACTTGCATGTTATTATTTTGTTATCACCATCTAGTAAACTAGCAAGTTATGAAATGAATATATCAAATCAATAACATTCCTATATAAAAAAATGTTTTGAAAATAATGTAAAAGATCCAATTCACATGGAAGCACAAAAGAAAGATACTATAGCAACTGTGGTAGGGGCAGAGGGAGAAGCAGACTCCCCACTGAGCAAGGAGCCCAATGTGGGACTTAGTCCTAGGACGCTGGGATCATGACCTGAGCCAATAGCAGATGCTTCACCGACTGAACCACCCAGGCATCCTGAGCTGTCAATTCTTAAATTAACCTATAAATTTATTGCAAACCTAATGAAAATACTAAAATAACCTTTGGGATTAACAAAATGACACTACAGTTCATTTAGAAAAATGTACAAGCTAGAAAATCTCTGAAAAATAAGTGATTTAGGTGTGGGTGGAGTAGAGAGTATATCTGTCACCCATTAAAATATACCATGAATTAGGAGTATTTGGCTGACTCAGTTGGTGAAGCATGCCACTCTTGATCTTGGGGTCATTAATTCTAGCCCCACGTGTGGCATGATGGCATGGAGCTTACTCAAAATTTTTAAAAAAGATTTTATTTACCTATCTGAGAGAGAAAGCAAGCAGGGGAAGTGGCATGCAGAGGGAGGGGGAGGAGTAGTCCTGCCGAGCTGAGGCTCAATCCCGGGACCCTGGGATCAAGACCTGGCCTGAAGGCAAATGATTTTATTTATATTTTGAGAGAGCAAGGGTGAGAAAGAGCATGAGCAGGGGGGAGAGGGAGAGGGAGAAGCAGACTCCCCACTGGGCAGGGAGCCTGATTTGGGACCAATCCCAGGACTCCAGGATCATGATCTGAGCCAAAGGCAGTCGCTTAACCAACTGGGACACCCAGGCACCCCTGTAAATGTATTATGATTTTCTTAATGTTTTTTTTCTCTTACTTTATTGTAACAATACAATATATAATATATACAACACAAAATTTGTGCTAACCTACTTTGTTTTCAGTAAGGCTTCTCACCAACAGCAGGTTATTAGTAGTAAAGTTTTTGAGGGGTAAATAGTATTTCAACAGATTTTCAACTGCATGGTTGAGGTGTGGGGGCAGGGATCAACACCCCCAAACTTGGCTTTAAAAAGTCAACTATATTAAATGCACAAATACTTTGACCGGCTATGCCATTGCTAGAAATTTATATTATAGAAGTTTTTGTGAGTGTTTGCAAAGGTATGTATCCAAACAAGGCAGCATTATATGTAAGAGCAAAACTCTGAAGATGAGTAATATATAAAATTGTGAGGCTACTATGAGGCCAGGTAAAAGGAGAGATTTGAAATGAAGATGTTCCCTTTGCATAACACATGTGCAGAAATATCCTTTTATTATCCAACCTTACACAAATATTATATTGTTTTTATAAGAAGTCAATAGGTGCTATCTTGGTAGGAAGATTATGGTGCATTCTTTTCCTTTTTTGTAACTCTCTGATTTAGAACTTTTAAATTTCCCAACTTCCCCTTCCTCCCCTGCCCCCCAAAAGGTAACTTTCATAACTATACATTCATTTTTCTCTTAGAATATTCATACTTATTTTTGGTTTTCTGCTTTAAACATACATGAGTTTGAAATTATATAAAACTGTGTTCTTTAGAAATATCTGGGAAGACAGTAAACACTGTGAAATTATTCTATTTCTATTAATGACAGAATTATTTTACACATAAAAGAAATTATCAATTTAAATTGAAAAAAAAAAACTGCACTACAGAAAATCATTCTATGACACACATACTTACAGGTTTTTACTTTTACAGACTTTTCACTTAAAATCATTCTTTCCCAAAAAACTAAACTTGAGCATAAGACAGATAAGTACCTGGTAAGTAATTAGTATGTACATAGGTAGTTGTGAAGAATCACCCACAATTCTAATATATTCAGTTCCAAAGGTGAAAAATTTCCTTTGAGAAAGCATTTTAACATTTCCTCTCATCATCTACAAAGCAGTGACACTATTTAAATTATTAAAAATGGCAAATCCAATGATATGTAACCATAAAGTCCCTTAAGAAATATATTTGAAAAATCAGTATTCCATAAAATATTTACATTGTTTAAATTACATGATAGCAAACCTGTCTTGATTTATTTTAGTTGAACCTATTAGTAAGAATCTCCCAAAAAAATCATTATTCATCCTTAATAAAGGAGACTTTATCCTTGGGTTTATTCAGCATCTTTATATCATCCAAAAGCTTTCTGGGTGTTAAAATATGTGTAGAACCTGGTAGGAGAAAAGATAAATTTTCAGAGGCCAGTAGTTAAGTAGATTCTCCTTGGTTAATTATATTGCCCCGTCTCTCAAATTTGCCAAGTGACATAGCTTGGGACAATTTAACGAAATTTCTGTAAGACACATTCCTGAAATCTGCCTACACCACAATATCTCATTCCTTCCTCCATTGCACAGCACGCTCACTAAACCACTTCTAGTACTTTGTCTACTTTGTGCGATGCATGGAAATGCTGACAATCAAAACTGGAGGTTTGGATCCCTGTGGCAGAACAGAAGAGTCACTGCTCAATCACAGGATCATAAAGCAGTGCTGCAGATTTAGACCCGGTGTACAAATGTTGCAATCTATAGACGAGAAGAGTTTCTAAATCACTGGCTTTGATTGAAGTTCTTAAAACTAAATTCCACATAGGACTTGCCAATGTCAGGCCCACATCCACAAAAACATTCAAAGTATTTCTGTAGCAGAAATGTACTTATGTCTCAAAAGTTACTTAATAATAAGGGCAAAACTAGAACATAATATTTTAAAGGACATATCTAATAATATCTAAATAATACAGCATTTTGAAGCCATTCCCTCAAAATCAGAATATTTAAAAATCTAATTATCAAAAAAGTCAACCACGAAAAACTCTAATACATCAAATAAAACACACTACGATTAATAAGTTTTTTTGCATTCAACAATTTAGACCTACGTGTAACTTACAACATAAAGTTCTCCATTTAGTTTGTTTAAAAAAAACTGAAAAGAGGAAAAAATGTCTTACCAATAATAACTTCACAGGATTTATGTGCCTGAGAAACTTCATAAGCACAACGCATTTCAGAGTACGTAATTCCTCCAATTACAAAAATGATCAGCTTTGACCCATTTTTTCGGTCCTCTAAGTAATTAGTTCTGGGTTTCTGACGAGCACTAAAAAATGAACACACACAAACATGTTAAAAACATTTCCAAAGCCATAGTGCTTGTAGAGTTTTTTAAATTTATTTTTATTTTTTAAAAAGATTTTTATTTATTTGACAGAGAGAGATCATAAGTAGGCAGAGAGGCAGGCAGAGAGAGAGGGGGAAGCAGGCTCCCTGCTGAGAGGAGAGCCCGATGTGGGGCTTGATCTCAGGACCCTGAGATCATGACTGAGCCGAAGGCAGAGGCTTTAACCCACTGAGCCACCCAGGCACCCACTTGTAGAGTTTTTAAAAAGCCCAACTCAAGCAAACTCAAACTTGGCACCAATTACCCTGATTTTATGGAAATGAATTAACTATGGTATGACTGGAGAACCAAGACAGGTTCGGCAGGACAGCCCCACTTCAAGTTTAATTCTGACCTAATAGAGAGTTTGGACATATCACATATAACTTAGTTCAGTATTTTTACCCACAAAACAGAGCTGATACTCTATATACCTGAAATGTCTAGGACTTAACTTTTTTTTTTTTTTAAAGATTTTATTTATTCATTCGACAGAGAGAGAGAGATCACAAGTAGGCAGAGAGGCAGGCAGAGAGAGAGGGAAGCAAGCTCCCTGCCGAGCAGAGAGCCCGATGCGAGTCCCGATCCCAGGACCCCGAGACCACGACCCGAGCTGAAGGCAGAAGCTCAACCCATTGAGCCACCCAGGTGCCCCTAGGACTTACCTTAAAAAAAAAAAAGATTTATTTTTTTGAGAGAGAGAGAGAGAAAAAGAGAGAACAAGTGTAGTGGGGGAGGAGCAGAGGGAGGAGGAGAAAGAAAACTCAAGCAGACTCCCCGCTGAACACAGAGCCCAACGTGGGGTTTGATCCCAGGACTCTGAGACCATGAACTGAGCCTAAACCAAGAGTCAGATGCTTAACTGACTGAGCCATCCAGGTGCCCCAAAAGTCGGACTTTCTGAAGTCTTAAAAACCCTCCTGTTTCAGTGCTACTCCCATTTTTTTTTAACTTCCGAAAGTCATAGACTTCTCAAGTTCTCTTACTTCTTCATATGAAATAAGAGTGTCAGTTCTGTTTTAGAGAGGTACAGGGAGGGAAGCACAGGTACAGATTTGGAGCCAATGTGGTATTGGGACACCTGATGCTGGAACTTAGTGAGGTAGGACGGTAGGAGGTACTGAAGACATGTCTGCACTCCTGTGTTCACTGCAGCATTATTCACAGTAGCCAAGACATGGACAACAATTAAACACCCATTGGTGGAGAGAGGAATAAAGAAAATGTAACGTACATATGGAGTGGAATATTATTCAGCCATTTTTTTTTTTTTACGATTTTTTTCTTTTTATTTATTTGACAGACAGAGATCACAAGTAGTAGGCAGAGAGGCAGGCAGAGAGAGAAGCGGGGGAAGCACGCTCCCTGCTGAGCAGAGAGCCCGACATGGGGCTCGATCCCAGCACCCTGGGATCATGACCTGAGCTGAAGGCAGAGGCTTTAACCCACTAAGCCACCCAGGCACCCCATATTATTCAGCCTTTAAAAAAAAAGAAGGAAAGGGGTGCCTAGGTGGCTCAATTAAGTGTCTGCTTTCGGCTCAGGTCATGATCTCTGGGTCCTGTAACTGAGACCTGAGGTAGGCTTCCTGCTCAGTGGGGAATCTGCTTCTCCCTCTCCCTCTACACCTTCCTGAGCCTGTGCTCATGCTCGAATGCTCTCTCAAATAAATAAAATCTTAAGGGGCGCCTGGGTGGCTCAGTGGGTTAAGCCGCTGCCTTTGGCTCAGGTCATGATCTCAGGGTCCTGGGATCGAGTCCCGCATCGGGCTCTCTGCTCAGCAGGGAGCCTGCTTCCCTCTCTCTCTCTCTCTCTCTCTCTCTGCCTGCCTCTCCGTCTACTTGTGATCTCTCTCTGTCAAATAAATAAATAAAATCTTTAAAAAAAAATAAATAAAATCTTAAAAAAAAAATTAAGAAAAGAAGGAAATTCTGCCAAATGCAACAACCTGGATGAACCTGAAGGACATTATGCTAAGTGAAATTATGTTGGACTCAGAAAGATAAACACTGCATGATCTTACTTCTATGTGAAATTTGAAACAGTCAAATTCACAAGGCAGAGAACAGAATGTTGGTTGCGAGGGACTGAGGGGGTGGGAATGAGGTAGTGTCGGCCAAAGGATGCAAAGTTTCACTTATGCATGATGAATAAATTTTGGAGATCTAATGTATTGCATGTTGACTTATAGTTAACAAAAATTATATTGTATGCTTGAAATCTGCTAAAAGGGTAGATCTTAAATTATTAAATTAAGGCTTCTCATCACACACACACACACACACACACACGTAAGAAAATAGTAAGTCTATGGAGGTGATGGATTATTAATTAGCTTGTGGTAGTCATTTTACAACATACATGTATTAAAACACCAAGTTGTAGATCTTAAACATATACTGCTATTAAGTCAATCACACCTCAATAAAGCTGTTAAAAAAAGACCTGGTTACAACTCTGATTCTGCTTCTTTCTAATTCAGTAAGACTTTTGGTAAGTTACTAAACCTCTCTCTAATATTCAAGGGTTGTTTTTAGGATTAAATGAAATAATGCAGAGGATACATGAACCATGGAATCTGGTACAAGGGAAGCACTCAATAAATAAGAGCTAATATTTCTATCATTTCCTCCCCCAGATGCTCTACATTAGCACTGTCTAATACAGTAGCCACTAGCTACATGAGACTAAAGTTAAATTAATTAAAATTAAATGAAATTAAAAACACAGTCACACTAGCCACATATGAAGTGGTTGACAGCTCCATGTGGCTACTCATATGACATTTCCATTACTGCAAGAAAGTTCTACAGGGTAGCACTGCTTGAGATCACAGGAATCACTTTTTTTGTTCTCACACTCCACTGGTAAAAATTTTGAGCTTTTGGGGCGCCTGGGTGGCTCAGTGGGTTAAGCCTCTGCCTTCGGCTCAGGTCAGGGTCCCAGGGTCCTGGGATCCAGCCCCGCATCCGGTTCTCTGCTCAGCAGGGAGCCTGCTTCCCTTCCTCTCTCTCTCTGCCTGCCTCTCTGCCTACTTGTGATCTCTGTCAAATAAATAAATAAAATCTTTAAAAAAAAAAAAAAATTTTGAGCTTTTATGTGAAAAGTATTTCAAAATAAAAATTTATGTACTTCTATTAAAAATATATATAAGTTTTGGGGCGCCTGAGTGGCTCAGTGGGTTAAGCCTCTGCCTTCAGCTCAGGTCATGATCTCGGGGTCCTGGGATTGAGCCCCACATCAGGCTCTCTGCTTGGCAGGGAGCCTGCTTTCCCCCCTCTCTCTCTGCCTGCCTCTCTGCCTACTTGTGATCTCTGTCTGTCAAATAAATTAAAAAAAATATATATATATATATTAGTTTATAAATTATGTATGTATACTGGTATATATTAATAAAATTTAATTTCTCCCCTTTTTAGGTAAAAATAAATATCCCCCCAAAATCATCTTGCTACCCATTTTGGAAACCATGTTCTAGAGGACCTCTAAGACCCTGAAATGTAGGATCCCATGGTAAACTTTAAATTATGCTCTTGTCTAGATAATTTCTATCTGCCATCTTAAGGAATGATGAGGGAGTAAACAACAGGAAGAAAGTAAAGAGAATCAGTAACTGGTGTTGAAAGATGAAACAGGAATAAGATAGACTCATAATTCCCATATAAAGCAACTCAAGGAGACATTAAAAGTGCAATTTTGGTTTAAAAACTATTTCAAGGGTATCTGGGTGGCTCAGTTGGTTGAGCATCCAAATTTTGATTTTGACTCAGGTCATGATCTCAGGATTGTGAGATCAAGCCCTGGGTCAGTTCTGTGCTCGGTGGGGAGTCTGCTTGAGATTCTTTCCCTCTGTCCCTACCCCAACTCTTGCACACACACACTCTCTTTCTCTAATATAAATAAATTTTTAAAATTTTTTTTCCAAAGAGAAAGAGTAAGAACAACAACAAAAAGATAATACTGCTCAAAACAATTATGTAACTAACAATTTTTAAATTTCTGAATTAAATTTCTGAACAGCAATTTTAGGACAATGGGATTATATTTAATTAGTTTCATGTACATGTATAATATGTTGCGCCAGTGTTTTACATTTTGATATAAAAATAACAATTAAAGCCCTAGATCCTGAAAATCTTACTCTAGAAAGCACACAGAAGTTTTGGTTAAGTAAGAGTGAACTTTTTATTTATTTTTAAATTTTTTAAAAATTTAAATTCAATTAATTAACATATATTCTTTGTTTCAGGGGTACAGGTCTGTGATTCATCAGTCTTATATAATACCCAGTGCTCATTACAATACATACCCTCCCCAATATCCATCATCCAGTTACCCCATCCCTCCACCCCTCTCCCCTCCAGCAATCCTCAGTTTGTTTCCTATGCTTAAGAGTCTCTTATGGTTTGTCTCCCTCTCTGATACCATCTTGTTTCTTTTTAAGAGTGAACTTCTTCTTAAAAGCACAGCTGAAAGTAAACAAATAAGAGAAATCTCCAAAGACTAGCAATAAAGAGGAATCTAAAACTAGAGTGGTAAACTGAGTTGAGTCTTGGCCTGCCTTATGGAGTGTTAGTCTAATCTTAGCAAACAAGGGACTTGGGTGTTTACCTATTTAATGAACAAAAGAGACAAAGCCTTGGTATTATGCAAAGTAAGGAGGGGCTGGGAGTTGACACTCCTGCATAAGGTAGGGCACTCATTTTTTTTTTTTTAATGATAAAGTACATTTTTATACTGCTTACCTGTACTCATTTAAAATAGGCTACTGTTAAAGAAAAACTGCCTCTTTAGTGACTATGCTTCCAGGAAAGTTGCCAATGTAAGAGTTACTTTGGTACCATTTCAGTTGTTAGTCTGCAATATCATACTGAAAATTGCACTGGCTTTTATCGATAGGTTTACCTTACAGCTCCTGAGCCATTCCATACTGCTGGACACTGGGAACAATATGGCCATTCTTTTGAATCTAATCTATTATCAATGGCATCCTAGAGAAGAAAAGAATTAACACCATTTAAAAAATGTACATTCTAGGATTTTCAAAATTTGTATATTTTGCGTAAGACTCAAAACTTGTGTTTACAATTAAGGAACCTAAAGATATGTAAATATGTAATAAAATAAGGTTAGCCCTCTCTCTGAAACTTATTAAACTTTACTTGCTTCAAAAATTAATGCAATCCTTTACTTACTTATTGAACCAGTATTAAGTGAATATCTACATTTCTTCATTTGCAGGGTCTCCATACTGGTGTTAAGGATTGCAGAGACCTTATCAAAACCTTTATCTCTAGAGTGCTAAGGGTTTCTAAATACCATCCTAGTCCTGACAGACCTCTTAGGCTACTGGAGAGTCCAGGCCTTGCCCTTCTTTGCAGTGGCTCTAAAATAGGCTGTGCATCCCTGACCTAGGTGTAATCAAAACAATCCAATGGGATGAGAGAGTTTTCCTTTCCATTTAAAAAAAATGTTCTGCTTTAGAGTTACATTTTATGATATACTTATATGTGTAAGACATGCTATATATAAAGATTATGCTTCACCAGTACAGTAATACATAGTTTGTAAATAATCACAGTACAAGCTCATGTTCACAATTTTTATGGTTAAGTCTGCAGGATTAAAAGTTTGGTGACCACTGCTTTATAGCACAGCAGTGTAAAAGGTATTATTAGTAAGTGGGCATAAGGAATGAGCACAAGGTACTCAGTAGTCCAGGAATATTTCATTAAAACTGTAAGAAGCAAAGAAATCAAGTTTTAGGAGAAATCCTAAAGGCTGAGAATGCCACTGGGCCAAAACTGGATTTTCTTTTTTTTAAATTAACATGCAAATCTTCGGTACAGGGTTCAGGAAGTCAATTCTTATTTCAAAAGTACTATCCAAGAAAGACTACTTAGCTACATCCTTGTTATGGGAAGAGAAAAAAATCTTATGTTGTAGAAAACAAAGCCTAGATTCTTTAAACTTTTCATCTATGATTAAGAATGTGTGGATGACATAAAATTAGCCAAGCAAAACAGGAAAATCATAGTCCTAAATTATACACATTTAGTTCCCAGAGCTAAGTAGACAGGTTTAAGTCAAAGGAAAACTGGAATAAATGAAACTGTATTATTATAATTGAAGAACCAATGTCATAATTTTATTGCCCATAATACCATTTTTACTAATCATTTTCTAATTTCCCATAATTGAATATTTCTAAAAGCAAACAGTACTAAAGGCATAACCCATCTGTTGGATAGAATAACAAACTACAGTTTACAATTTACAGTTTAATAACACACTTTTTCCAAGAATACTGGAGTCTAACACTTTCTAACAGTGGTCATATGCAAGTATTATTTTGTTGAACTTTCACTCAAATAAATTATTTACACTTCTGCTACATATAGTTATTTAAAACAGGTTTTTTTTCATAAGATAGTTATGTATGCTTACTTTTATTTATTTTGAGTCAGTCAGTGTGTAAGTTTATTTGAGATCTTCAAGGAAAGAATTTTCAAATTTCCTTTCCTCTCTTGACCCCAGATACAGCCTTCTTTTGTGAACCCTCCCAGTACTGCAGAAATTCCTGACCAACAGATATCTCAGAGTGATAAACATACAAAGAGTAAAGAATATCCACTTAGGGTATAAGTAAAATTTAATGAACTGTACCTCCAAAATATCTTTGATAAAAGGTGTCCATCGAGAGAGTTGAAAAGTTTCTTCTGTAGACCTATCCTTTCTTAATGGTTTGCTTTGTTGAGACTAATACAAATAGAGGAAAAAAATTAAAAACCTTTAATTTTATTTAGTAATATTCTCTCACTACATTTTCTTAAAAAAGTATTTAAATTAAAGTAAATACAAGTAAAAACTAAGAGTGGAGGGGCACTTGCATGGCTTAGTTAAGATTCTACCTTTGGCTCAGATCATGATCTCAGGGTCCTGGGACTGAGCACCATGTTGGACTCCCTGTTCAGTGGGGAGTCTGCTTCTTCTTCTCCCTCCGCCCCCTGGCTCATGCTCTCTCTCTCTCACCCACTCTCTATCTCAAATAAATAAACAAAATCTTAAAAAGAAAAAAAACAACTAAGAGTGGAAATGCTTGCTCAAAAAAATCTGAATAGATGGAATCACATAAATTCACCATATTTTGTGCTCTAAAGATAAAAATGTATAACAGTATATATTTACTCAAAAGTTCTATAAAACTTGATGGGAAAGAGAGATTCTAAACACAGTTCTTTCAAAATTTGCTATAAAAGGAATCATAGAAAAAAGCAAAAGAGCAAATTGTAACAGAAGACATAAGATATAAATTCACTAGAAAAATGTATTTTTCCAAATACTCATATATGGAAGAGAAAACAAAATTAAAAATTTTTTACTTACCGAATCTATAGAGTGAAATTAAGAAGACTAGTGGATTCCCATATAAGAAAACATTTTTAATGCAAACAACCACATATGTACCGATATGAATATATACTGAATGTGAGATTTCTTACTGGGGGGACAATGGGAACACCAAGGTAACTCCAGTTACGGATCATGTCGCTCTCATTTTCTATTTTTACATTCTGGATCAACCTGTCCAAATTTTCTTCCGTGGTTCCTTAGATAAAAATACGAGTGTACAGTCACATAACTGCTACCACAATCATGTCTAGGTTTCAGGTGGTACCCATGAATATAAAGTTTATTAAAGAAAAAGCAAACATTTAATTATATACCCTTTGGTCTTCTCCCAATTTCCTATTTTTCCTTGTATTTATCTTACCCAATGTCAGCTACTACCTTTGAATTTTCTAAGACTCTCTTATGATCAATAGTAAATTACTTATTATAAAGGGATTTTAGAGCTGAGTATTTTAGTATATTGATGAAATAAAGTCTCTATTACCATTAATACTGAAGATGTAAAGTAGAATCGCTCTTATTTTATCATAATTATCATGATTTTTGTTGAGTAGAACTGGAAGAAGTACTCGCATAGAATCTTTCACCTTCTGTCCTTCTGCATCAGTTCCAAGTGCCAGGTCCTTAATGACAATTAAATATAGTCAGTGGCCTATAATCCAAATTCACTTTTCAGTTAAAAATATCTTAAATCCAGGGGCTCCTGGCTCAGTCAGTCAGTGCAGCACGATCTCTTGATCTCAGGGTTGTAAGTTCAAGCCCCACATTGGGTGTAGAGATTACTTAAAAATAAAATCTTTAAAAAGATATCTTAAATCTTGCCACATCTTAAAGTAACACTGATGATACTTCCAATGTAGGCATCACTGGTAAACTACAAATTGTACAAAATATAAAAAGTAAAAAAATAATTCAGAGAGAAAATCATTAATCTAAACCTATGCTAATATGGTAGCCCTGAGCTACATATGGTTAATGAGCACTTGAAACGTGGCTAGCCTGAATTAAGATGTGCTTATAAGTGAAAACGCCAAGTTTCTTAAAGACCTGATGTGTAAAAAAGGAATGTAAATTATTTTGCTAATAATTTTTATATTGATTACATGTTGAAATAAGATTTCAAAAGCACTAGGTTAAGTCAAATAGATTATTAAAATTAACTACCTTTGTTTCCTTTTACCTTTTTATGTGACTATAATTGACCCTTGAATAGCAAAGATTTGAAGTGTGTGGATCCATTTATACATGGGTTTTTTCAATAAATAAAGCACAGCACTTTAAATGTATTTTTTCTTCCTTATGATTTTTTAAGAAACATTTCATTTTCTCTAGCTTACATTACTATAAGAATATAGTATATAATACATATAACATATAAAATATTTGTTAATCAACTGCTTATCAGGAGGGCTTCTGGTCAACAGAAGATTATTAGTGTGGGGGGAGTCAAGGTTTGGGGGGACAAAAGTTATACATGGATATTTTACTGTGGGGGGTCAGTACCCCTGATCTTCGTTCAAGAGTCAGCTATACTACAATATTTAAAATTATATATGGCTTGGGGTGCCTAGGTGGCTCAGTTGGTTAAGCTTCAGACTCTTGATTTAGGCTCAGGTCATAGTCTCAGGGTCATGGGATTGAGCCCCTGTAGCTTAAGATTCTCTCTCCCTCCCCCTCTGCCCTTCCCCTGCTCATGCGCTCTCTGTCTCAAAATAAATAAATAAATAAATAAAATTACATAGGGCTTGCATTCGAGTTCTCTTAGCACTGGTCTAAACATTTTTGACATTATGGGGGGGGGCTCTAAAACAAGTTAAATGCGCCAATGCAGTACACTGCAAGGTGCTGCATTAAATGTTGCCCCTACTCAGAAAGGCCTGACAATTAGAGGTATTCTGAAATAATGTTCCAAACCCTAAAATTATCACATTTAACCAGAAATGCACAATCACAGATTAGGAGGGACTACTTACTGTGATACTTATAGCTACCTGAAAATGTTGGTGGGGAGTGATGTATTTCTTTTTATTTATTTTTTTGTTTGTTTTTAAAGATTTTATTTATTTATTTGACAGAGAGAGAGGAGGCAAGAGAGTACCAGCAGGGGGAATAGCAGAGGGAAAGAGAAAAGCAGGTTCACTGCTGAGCAGGAAGCTGCACGTGAGACTTGATCCCATGACCCTGGGAACCTGACCTGAGCCAAAGACAGATGCTTAACCGACTGAGCCACCCAAGCACCCCTTTATTTTTATTTCTTAAGTAGGCTCCATGCTCAGTGTGGAGCCCTACATGGGGCTTGAACTCAACCCTGTAGAGATCAAGACCTGACTAAGATCAGGAGTCAGATGCTTAACTGACTGAGCCACCCAGGTGCTCTGGAAATTATGTATTTAAATACTGCCTAATTGATCCCCCTTCAAAGAGATATTCTGCAATTCAGTACACCTTACAAAGTTCAATCCGGAAATTTATGATGACATAGGTATTTCTTACTCTGTACGTACCTGTTCACTTTTGCAGAGCTTTTCTATATTAGGTTTGAATTTATTCATGCAATCTTCTGCTAAGTTAAGATGGACAACTTGCTGAAAAAAACAAAAGAATTCAATTACTTAAAGTACTTTAATTTCTTTTTGTGCAAGTGATATTAAACTTTTGAGATAGGCCTGAAATAAATTATGGGCTGAGGAAAAAGGAGGTACCATGTAAAACAAGTAAAATAGCCCAAGAAAGAAGAAAAAGTGAGAATTAATATGGTCCACAGGGGCTAATCAACAGAGAGCAAAAATATGAATATGTGTTTAAGAGTGTTGAAAATGAAGGAAAAATGAGGAAAAAAAAAGCTAAGTCTTGAAAGCCCAGCAGAAAAATGTTTTTGAAATTATATTGTTGGTCCTTGATTAGGGTGCTGTATGATAAAAAATGACTTATAACGACTCACAGGAAAGACTGATACAGCAAAAAGAATAGTTTACCTGCCAACATGGCTTAAGTGCTCTTAACTACTAATACATAACTCTGAAAGAACCAAGTAGAACAACAACTGCTGGTTAATATAATGTTGCATTTTCTTAAGTTGATAAATACAAAATTCTCTGTCTGGCTATTGAAGACAAAGACACAAAAATCTGAAGCTGGATTTGGATGAATATAGATTACATACAAAGAACACTACTGAGAAGCTTAAATATTTGGAATATTTCTCAGACCTAGAGTAAAATTTTAGAGTATAACTAACACCAAGTATTCCATGACACCCACTACTAAACCTGACTATAGAAGTGGACAGACTAATAAACTAAAAATGGTAAAGTATCTCATACACAATATTGCTTACCTTAGTAATCTGTTTACGGAAATGGGGCATCTTTTTCATCAGTTGGGTAAGAGCACTAAGCGATGTCTAGAAAAAAAAGTCAAACATTTTTAAAGCAAACTTATAATTCAGGTATTCTATAACAATTTTTATAGTTTATTTTTTTCTTCTTCTTTTTTTTTTTATTATTTCTTTTCAGCGTAACAGTATTCATTGTTTTTGCACCACACCCAGTGCTCCATGCAATACGTGCCCTCCCTAATACCCACCACCTCGTTCCCCCAACCTCCCACCCCCCGCCCCTTCAAAACCCTCACGTTTCTTATTTTTTTTTTTAAGATTTAATTAATTTATTTATCTTAGAGAGAGAATGCAAGTGCATGCCCGGAGAGGAAGGGCAGAGGGAGAGGGAGGGTCTTAAGTAGATTCCATGATGAGTGTGGAGTCCAAAGTGGAGCTCAATCTCATGAGCCTGAGATCTCGACCTGAGCTGAAACAAAGAATCACACGCTTAACTGACTGTGTCACCCAGGTACCCCTCCATATAACAATTTTTAAATCTTGCAGTTATATTGCTAATTTTCTAAATATTTGGCAAGTTAAAAAAAACACATTCAAGAGACTTTCAGTTTCAGTCACAAAAAAGTAGCTGATATCAAAATTATTCTCTCCCCATAAATAAAAATAGAATTGGACAAAATAAATAAGACAACAACTCTCAGGCAATGGATAAGAAAAAGAGCTCATAGTTAAGATACTTAAGCAAAAGAAAGCCCAGGTGATCCTAGCACTCATCCTGGCTTTTCCCTGGGACACTTTCCAAAAGTGGTAAAAGGATGTAGAGATCAAGTAAAAAGCACTAGTCTCTCTAGACAGAGGAAAAAGAGATAAGAGTTTGGGGCTGGTGAGGTAGGGTCTGGGAGGCATGGTGCTAGAGGGAAAGAGCCAGTCACAACATAACTCGAAGATGTAACTCAAAGAGGCATTGCCTTTGGAGCCCTAGCCAAATGCTAAGCTGCGTGTGTAAAAGGCAAAACTCTTAAAGGCCTAGCACAGAACAATTGCCGGGAAGCTAAATGCTAGACAGAGATTTCAGAGGGGTCTTAATGCCAAGAAAATACTGGTATTCTCTGATTCAAAGAAGAGTGCCAAGTGAACATCCCAGATGTTCAGTACTAGGACTGTCTTTGAACTAAGTACAAAAGGAAATACACTCACCATAACAGCACCTGGCATGATGTCTCAACAGAATTAAGGTTATTTATGAGCAAATTAAATGCCTGCCAGAACAGAAATCAATAGTCTTTGCAGAGAGAACATCATTTAGCGTCTCTGCAAGATGTTAGACATCTGCGATGTCTAACATATGCTAAAATATTACTGATCATGTAAGACAGAAAAAAGTGAGGGGCACCTAGGTGGCTCAGTCATTAAGTGTCTGCCTTCAGCTCAGGTCATGATCCCAAGGTCCTGGGATCAAGCCCTGCATCGGGCTCCTTGCTCAGCGGGAAGCCTGATTCTCCCTCTTCCACTCCCCCTACTTGTATTCCCTCCCTCACTGTGTCTCTCTCAAACAAATTTTTGTGTCAAACAAATAAATAAAATCTTAAAAAAAAAGTGATCAATACCAAAGTGATAAAATAGTCAATAAACGCAGACCCAAGACAAGATATGGTATACATACACAACAGAATATTATTTGGACATAAAAAAAACCATCTTGCCATTTGAAACAACATGGATAGAGCTGGAGTGTATTATGCTAGTGAGATAAGTCAGTCAGAAAAAGACAAATACCATATGATTTAATTCACATGGAATCTAAGAAATAAAACAGATGAACAAAGAATAAAAGAGATGAACCAAAAAGCAGACTCGTAACTAGAGAGAACACACAGATGGTTACCATGGGAAGGTAGGTAGGGGGATGGGTAAAATAGGTAAGAGAGATTAAGAGTGTACTTATCATGATGAACACTGAGTAATGTATGGAATTACTGAATCACTATACCGTATACCTGAAACATAACACTGTATGTCAACTATACTGGAGTTAAAAAAAAAAGAGGTTGACCCAAGACCATCCAGATATTGGGAGTTAACAGAAAAGATATTCAAAAATAACATATTTATGTTAAAGAAAACATGAAAAGATGGACTAAACAGATGAAAAGATACAGTATTTCAACAGAAAACTAGATTTTAAAAATGCAGTGAATGTCTTAGAACTAAATGCAATATTTGAAATTAAAAATACAGTGACTCTTCTACATTGCCAGTGGGACTGTAAAATGGCATAGCCACAACAGTATGGAATTTTCTTATAAAGTTAACCATACATTTACTATATGACCCAGCAATCCCACTTTTTTTTCCCCAAAGATTTTATCTATTTATTTGAGCAAGAGAGAGAGCATAAGCAAAGGGAAGAGGTAGAGAGAGAAGCAGGCTCCTTGCCAAGCAGGGAGCCCAATGTAAGGCTTGATCCCAGGGTCCCATGATTATGACCTGAGCTGAAAGCAGACGCTTAATGGACTGAGCCACCGAAGTGCCCCTCAGCAATCCCACTCTTAATTATTTACCCAAGTGAATGAAAACATCTGTTTACACAAAACCTGAATGTTTTATTGTGGATTTATTCATAATTGCCAGCAACCTGAAAAAAAAAAAAAGTTCAGCAACTGAGCCATCCAGGTGTCCCCAAAAATAGCATCTTAAGTTTATAAACACATGTTGAGTAAAATATATAACAACATTAGCACAAAAGAGGAAGGGGGTAAATGCAGCTAAACTGTTACAAGGTTCTTAAATTATTCAGGAGATGCAAAAGTATACTTTAAGGTAGATTACAATAATGATACATTTTGAGGCGCTTGGGTGGCTCAGTTGGTTGAACGTCTGACGCTTGATTTTGGCTCAGCTCATGATCTCAAGGTCATGAGATCAAGCCCCAAGTTGGGCTCCTTGAGCTCAGCACAGAGTCTGCTTGAGATTCTCTCGTCCTCTCCTTCTGCCCCTCTCCTGCTTGCACAGGCCTCTAAACAAACAAACAAACAAACAAATAAAATCTTAAAAAAGAAAAAAAAAGGAATGTTACAGAGAAATAGTTCTCATAAACCTGGAATCAAATATCCTAAGCAAAATATTAGCAAACATATTCAGAGACAAAGGAAAAGGATAATGCATCAAGACCAGTGCAACTTATTCCAGGAATGAACGATTGGTTTATCACATTTACAGAAAAAAGGAGAAAAAAAATAATTACAACAGATGCATTTGATGAAATCCAACACCGATTCTAATTAGAAAAACCTCAACAGGGGCGCCTGGGTGGCTCAGTGGGTTACGCCGCTGCCTTCGGCTCAGGTCATGATCTCAGGGTCCTGGGATCGTGTCCCGCATCGGGCTCTCTGCTCAGCAGGGACCCTGCTTCCCTCTCTCTCTGCCTGCCTCTCTGTCTACTTGTAATCTCTCTCTGTCAAATAAATAAATAAAATCTTTAAAAAAAAAAAAAAGAAAAAGAAAAAGAAAAAGAAAAAAGAAAACCACAACAACAACCTGTTTTGCCAATTAAGAACAGAAGGGATAAACCTGATAAAGGATTTATCAAGGGGTGCCTGGGTGGCTCAGTCAATTGAGTGCCCAACTCTTGATTTTGGCTTGTATCATGATCTCAGGGTGGTGTGATGGAGCCCCATACTGGTCTCCACTCTGGGTGTGGAGCCTACTTGGGATTCTCTCTCTCCCTTGCCCTCTGCCTGCCCCACCCAACTGTGTTCTCTCTCTTAAAAAAAAAAAAAAGAAAAAAGAAAAAAGAAAATAAAGGATATATCTAAAATAACCTAAAACTAACACAACACTCAATGGTAAAATATCAAACATGTTTCTTCTAAGGCTGGGAATAAGACAAAGATATCCTCTATAATCAGACAAGGATATCCTCTATAATCAATTCTATTGTACATTACAGAGCTAGGAGATATTAACCACTAAGTAAACTGTTTTAAAATGTATAAAGATTGGAAAGGATCAGGCTAAATATTTTTATTCATAGATGATATTATTGCATGATCTTTTGGAATGATGGAAATGTTCTCTATCTTGATTAAGGTGGTGGTTCCAAATATATATATATATGTAAAAAGTTACTTAGTATACACTTAAGATTTATGCACTCAGGTAAATTACACCTCAAAATTTAAAAATCTAGCAAAAATGCACTGATGAAATTGGCTAAATGGCTTTTTAAAAATAAACTCGGGGTGCCTGAGTGGCTCAGTGGGTTAAAGCCTCTGCTTTCGGCTCAGGTCATGATCCTGAGGTCCTGGGATCGAGTCCCACATTGGGCTCTCTGCTCAGTAGGGGGTCTGCTTCCTCCTCTCTCTGCCTGCCGCTCTGCCTACTTGTGATCTCGGTCTGTCAAATAAATAAAATCTTTAAAATAAAATAAAATAAAATAAAAATAAACTCAATGAAGCAAGACAGACAAAATGTTGCTTGAGACTAGATAATGGGTACATGGGAGTTTGTTTTCTCTACTTTTGTATATACTAGAAATTTCCCAAAATGGAAAATTAAAAAGATAAAATAAAAATTTTAAACACATTTTAAAATTCACCATCATTATTTTGAATGTTAAATAAAAGTCTTACCTTTCCTTCTGTTGCTTTTTTTGTTGATGAAATTTCCTTCATTAGTTTGGGAATTTCCCTGTCAAATTTGAGAAAATTCTTTAGATTTCTAAGGTGTTACTCTTTACAGAAATATTCTAAGATTATAAAATACACTTTCATGAACTTAGTGCCTAAAAAATATGGAATAAAAAATTAAAATGGGTTCACATACTCTAACACAACTGCAATATGCCGATGTCGAATTCTGACCCAGAGGTCATCATCTTCTTCAAGGATTGCCTCCTTTTCTTTCCCATCTGTTTTGTATCTACAAGTAGACAGAAATATAAATCTTTTGGATTATCCCCCACCAAAAGTGGAAGAAACATTTTTACAAACAATAATTTTAAGACAGAGCTCAAGAAATTGAACAATAGACACATTCAATCCAGTATTTTAGGATGACAGTGAATACCTACTCAAAACTAAGGCATATTGCTTGCTATCCTTACATTAGAAATCAAAGTGCTATGTCTACCAAGACATTTTTGCTTTCAAATGTTAGGGTCTAGCTCAGCAAAATGTTGTTTTATGGAACAAAAATCCAACATTCTACAATCAACTCTAGGAACAAGACTAAATTTGTATTAACATTTTCTAATTGCTTAAAATACTATTTCAATGTGTTCATAACCATCAGTGCAACTATCAAACACCCATTAAGAAAAGAACAGAGATGTCACCTCCAAATGTAGCCTCTTAAATACTGAAGGTATTGCAAAGTTAACATTTTCATAAACATGTATCCAAGTAATTAAATTCATAAACATGTATCATCTGTTTCTATATTCTTCCCTAATCCTATAACCACACATCCTTTGAAGAATGGGAAAGGAAATGAGAGAAAACTAATGTAGTGATAAAAAATTGTGATTGCTTTAATGAGTACTACTGAAGTAAGCAATTCAAGGGGTTCATGAAATTACTCAAAATGGGCTTCCTGCCTCCCCATATGTAATTTCTCTCTTCCCTTTTTATGCAGATAGCCTCCTTTCATCTGTAGAGCTAGGGAGATTCAATCACCCTTGGAACTGTCAATCTCCTGAGCCAAGATTAGAAAGGACAGCTTTAAACTTTCCCAGCTCTAGATTAGATTAGCTCTAAATGTAAATTTCTACTGTATGAATATAATCACTTCTGTAACTCCCCAAATTACAGGCCCCACCTATAAAACCATTTACATATGCAGTCTTAAGTGCAGATACCCAAAGGTACAATGATTGTGCTTAAAAAGAACAAACTAAGGACAGAAGCAGCCCATTTGCCATTTAAAATGCCACTCCGTACTTACATAACATCTTTAACCTTTGATTTATAAACGAAGATTAGGGCAGCAAGCCTAACAATACTTAAAAAAGACAACCCCATTTTAAGACTACATTTAAAGAGATCATCAAGATAAAAAATGGAATATGGATACTTAGAATTTCCTGCATTGTATTGTTTCCATTAACAACTGTAATAGAGCACAAACCATAGGGAGTTCAATCTTCCATCTTAGTCTTATCTCTGGATTTCTCTGATTCATAATAGGGATTATTGCTGGTTTTTATTTTGTTTTTTTAAAGTCTTTCCCTTAAGCAGGCTCCACACCTAGTGTGGACAAAATATTTATCTCTTCGGCTGTGCCTGGGTGGCTTAGTCATTAAAGTAAAGTATCTGCCTTCAGCTCAGGTCATGATCCCAGGGCCCGGCATCAAGCCCCGCATCCGGCTCCTTGCTTAGCGGGAAGCCTGCTTCTCCCTCTCCCACTCCCCTGCTTGTGTTCCCCGTCTCATTGTGTCTCTCTCTCTGTCAAATAAATAAATACAGGGGCGCCTGGGTGGCTCAGTGGGTTAAAGCCTCTGCCTTGGGCTCAGGTCATGATCCCAGGGTCCTGGGATCGAGCCCCGCATCGGGCTCTCTGCTCAGCAGAGAGCCTGCTTCCTCCTCTCTCTCTGCCTGCTTCTCTGCCTACTTGTGATCTCTGTCTGTCAAATAAATAAATAAAATCTTTAAAATATCTATCTATCTATCTATCTATCTATCTATCTATCTATCTCAGGGCACCTGGATGGCTCAGTCCATTAAAATGTCCAAAATTCTTGATTTTGGTTCAGGTCAGATCAAGTCCCATGTTGGGGGCTGTGCTGGGTATGGAAGCTGTTTAAGATTCTCTCCCTCTTTTTGCCCCTCCCTCCCTAAAATAAGTAATTAAATAAAATATTAATCTCCCTTTAAGCCACTTCATTGCAATGGCTCTGTGCTGGGCATGGAGTCTACTTAAAAAGAAAAAAAAAAATTATTTCCCCAGGTTTGCTGGCAAGGAAAGCAAGGTTTAATTATTTTAAGAGTAAGGGAGAAACTTATTAAGTGTCCATCAGTTTAATTTTTTTTTTCCCTTTTCTAGTTCAATACTTTTCTAAATCTCTTGAGCAATGCAGGTTTAGAAACCTAAAGGACAAGAGAGGTAAACAGTATCTCTTCTGAAAATTCTGAATAAACTGCTTGAAACTATTTTTGTATTAGAAAAATTGTAATACTGATTTCTCCATGTCACTAGTCATTAATATAAATTACAGAGAAAAATTCAGAAGCCAGGATTTGACCAGAATGCAAATAAACATACAATAGAAAATACATAAATACAATACATACAGTAGAAAAAAGATTTTTTATTAAAATTACTAAGTTAATTTGAACATAAAATTTCAGAAAACTAAGTTTCCTTTTTACCACTCTGCTTAGACAGTAAATCGTAGATGAAAAATGCCAATTTGGACTTAGAGATTACGATATCAACCTGTAAATATAAACATATATGTACACCTGTATACCCTCATAATGATTCACAATAATACAGTAAAATGGTTCCCTGATAGAAAAGCTATATCACTTTTCATTTAGCTATTTGGCATTATTTTTAAAGTAAATATGCTTATACCAGAGTTAACAGGTATTTGGTAATTAGTAACATTATGCTTATTCTCAATAGTAAACCTATTCAGTTTTCTAGTCTTCTAATCTTCTTAAATACATTATATTGACAAGACACACACACAGATACTTTTTTGTGTGTGATCTGGAATAATTATGGCCTAAAAAGTTTGAATATGGTTTCCACTTCAATAAATATATAGTAGTTGGCCTGGTATTTACTCTTAACATAAGCGAAAAGTCCAAATTCTACTTGTTTAAATGTAGCTTTGTTATACACATAGTTAAGGAAGCAACTACACCAAAAAAGCTTCAAAGCAGTCAAATTACCCATTAACTTACAAGGTCCAGATATTTTTAATATGTTCTGATTACAGGGTAAGAGAATGATAAAGTTTCTGAATATCAAAGTTACAGGGGCTTTAGATTTCTGGTGCCTACACGAGTCATTAAATGCTCAAATCCTATATATCCTGTTTGTATATGCCCTTTATATGCCCTTCAAGTTATACTTGCTTGTATGTATCATTCTCAATTGGCAGTAGATCATATGCCATTGCCTGAAAGGTCAGTTCATGCAGGACAGTGGACACAGGATCAAAGCCACGATCAATTATTATGAGCTGGGAATGAGTTTTACCCTGGAATAACAAGATAAAATTATCTTCAGAAACTTCAATTTCTTTGTGTGAACACCTTGTTAATATCTCAGAAAACAAAAGCAGACTTTTCCTAAGTTCTGTCTCATTCTTAAGAATATGAAGTTCTATTAAAATAGAAAAATCGGAGTGGCACAGTAAGGGAAAAAAACAAGACTACAAAAACAAAAGCTTTCATAATTAGATTAAGGGGCTATATACAATAAAACAATATTGTGAAAATTCATTTTAAAAAAAGTAACATTTGCCCTGCACTAAAATTGATTTTCTTAGGAATTCAGCTCCATAAACACTAAAACTGATAGAAATTATGAACAGTTGTTACTACTAAGACTCTAAGCACATGTGCTAAGCAAAAAATAAGTAATTAAATTCTCATAGCAACCCTGTGAGGCAGGTATTATCTGCATTTGATGAGGGTATTAAGCTTAAAATTCAGAAACTTGCCCAAATCACACAGCTAGTAAGTGGCAGAATGGAGATTCCAATTCAGGTCAGTTTCACTCCATGCCTGTGCTCTTAACTGTTATGGTATTTAAAAAGATTATACTGATGCCAACTAAGATGGCAAATTAAAATGAAAGTCTTATTATTAATTTACAAACATCACTAATCATTAAATAGTGAATAATAGTTCTGGGAAAGGTATTGTTAATATCAGTATCTTTGATACTTCATTTCAGAAAGTAATAAATTCTTTGGGTTATTATTTAAAGCAGTAAGAAGTAACTACAACTCCATGCAAGTGATAAATCACTAAGTTCTGCTCCTGAGACTAATACTACACTATAGGTTAACTTGAATTTAATTAAGATCTTACAAGAAAAAAAATAAATAACTACAACTCATTAGACAAACATTTCCTATTTATTTACATATATGAGACACAGGTAAATTACATGAAATAGACCTTTAAAAAATGTTTAATTAACTGTTTACTCATTTAAACCTTGAGCCAGTATGGTACAGTGGTTAAAAGCACATACTCTGGAATCACACAGATCCAAGTAGGAGTCCAGTCTTGACCATTATCTTGCTGTAAGACTTTGGACAAACTGTTTAACCTGTTAGTATCTCAGTATTCTCATTTGTAAAACAAAATAAAACCAGAACCTCTGCTGTGTAAGATTATTTTAAGATTTAATGTAATAACGCCATAATACATTTAGTAACTAGCACTTAATAAGCCTTCAATATATCTAAGTTATAAGTCCTCAAAAACACAAACAGGAAAAAGATAGTGCAATATAAGTGTTATATCAAGGCTTGGGGTTATGACAATATGTGGAAGGAAGTATCATTTGACCTGAGGAGCATTCAGGAAATGCTTCTGAAAGGAGGTGACACTTTATCACATCTTTAAGTGAAGGAAAAGTATCAAGTGTTTGAAGGAAAAATAGAAAGGACAATTTTTTTGTGTGTGTGCATTTTGTCTTTTTTTTTCCATTGAAATTATGAAGGACAAAAGGATATTTACTAACATACTGATCATATATCTCTTCCCTCATTCAACATACATTTACCGACTATTACTATGCTATACACCGAGCCACTGTCTTCTTAACTACAACCAGAATGGCTTTCACCAGACCTCTAGTAACTTTTAAAGTTCTAAACTAACATTACATCTAAGCTTACACCCTCTCATTCCAGTGCAGTTGTCTGTGAATTTCCCTTTTTCATTATGCCTCTGCCAAAGAATTTGGTTATCTAAGCAATAACGTCCCTCTTCTATAATATTGTACTTACGCTTTAAGCTAAAGAGCCTATTCCTCTGGGGTACATTCCAAGATTCCAGTTAGAAAAAGTTTAAGCCCCTGCCTACATTCCCATTACATGCTAAGTATTATTCTTTTCATTCTACTTATTAAATAACACTGTATCAGTGGTTCCCTTGACCATCTCCTCTTAGTTCTAACTTAGCAACAATTTCTTCCATTCATTTCATATGGGTCCCTAGCCCCCTAGCCCCACCTCCTTCTGTCTCCTCAGACTCTTCATTCTCTAACCCAAGCCTAAATGCAGTATTCTCCAAATCCCAATCTTAGTCTCTGATTATATTATCTTCATAAGATAACAACTGCTGCCATTTATTAAATTCCTATACGTGCCAGACACATTACTTCACCTAATCTTCACACCAACCAAGCAAGCTATACATTTATTTCATCCATTTTATAGATGAAAATACAACTGAAAGTAGATAATTTGTGCAGTCAGACCTAGTAATAACTGTGTTTATTGTTTACTCAGTAGTAAGCATCATTATGAGAACTTTAACAGTAATAACTCATTTAACCCTCTCTCTACTTTAAAAAAGGTATTCTTATTATCCCCATTTTACAGATAAAAAAACTTAGGAAATTACATAAGAAGTTACATAATTTAACCAAAGTGACATATCTATGAATTAAATGGCAAAGCCAGGATTTGGACACAGTGCTTACTTCAAAACCCGTATCTTCCCCACAAAACCACACTATTAAGCTTTCAGCTATCATCTACGTTAATGATTCCCAAATCAGTACTGGAAAATGAACACTAGTTTTTTTTGTTTATGAAGAAATAAGACAGATTTTGTGCATAACCACTATTGCCTTTTATACCCTACCTTTATTAGGCTCTTTTCATCAATCTTGTAGTAGTTTTCAAGTTTTTTTTCAACAAGCTGGGCAAGCTTACTGGCATTATCTAGAGGTTTACTGAAAGTGGAAAAAATGTTCAAACAATTATCTTTCTTTCAAAATGTTATAATATCATAAAGCTGAATTCTAAAATTAAACCACACAATTTATTAATTTAAAAGCGTTTATAAACAGAGAAGTTCAGATAATAATATATCAAATATAATGTTATACCAATTTGTCTGGATTTTACAAATGTAGACCTTATCATATGTACTTAAGATTTTCTTAATGTAAAAAAAATAATATAAATAAAATTGTAGTTCCCTTTATTTCCTTCCCAATTCCTAGGCTTCTCCTCTACCTCTATCCAACCCCCAATGGCAACCACTATCATGAATTTGGTGTGTATTCTTCCTGTCAATGCTGTTATATATATTTACTATTTTATAAATGTTTAATAGTATATGTTCTATATATGTTTGAGAGCTATCTACGTTGACATATATATATCAGATTAATTCATTTTATACCATCATATAATTATACTGGATTTCATGCATTCATTCCCTTAAAGACAGACATTAAAAAAAAAAAAAGATTTTATTTATTTGACAGAGATCACAAGTAGGCAGAGAAGCAGGCAGAGAGAGGGAGAGGGGGAAGCAGCTCCCTGCTAAGCAGAGAGCCTGATGCGGGGCTCGATCCCAGGACCCTGGGATCTTGACCTGAGCCGAAGGCAGAGGCTTAACCCACTGAGCCTCCCAGGTGCCTCTAAAGATAGACATTTAAGTCATTCTCAATTTCATACTATTTCAAACAACACTGAAACAATTATCTTTGTAAGTAAATCTCCACGTACGTTTCTCTACATCTAAAAGTATAACTGCTGAGTCATAAAGTATATATTTTTTACATTTTTAGATAGTAGCATATTACTCTCCAAATTAGTTGACCTATTATCCTTCCTCCTAGCAGTGAGATTTCCCAATGTGTTCTCTAACATCTAATCAGATTTCAAATATAATCTTTTGCATAAAATTTTTATATCACTCTCTACTAAAATGATAAAATCATAGTCTAAATTACATCTTCATGACCAGTTACATTTGTGTTGCTTTTGAGTCTACAAGAAAAATGCTGGAAAAGGGTCCTCAACTAGCACACCAACCTCAAAAACGGAAGGTCTCATTGTGAGGGATTCAAAGAGTTAAAAGACTCTTTAGGTTTACTACCTTAAAAATAAATAAAGCAGCAACTACATACAATAATTTATTACACATTTTGCTTTAAAATGTTTTCAGGGGGAAGTAATTTTTTGTTTGAATTACACTTTAACAATCCATAAGATATAACTGGATTATTCTTTAACTATTGCAGTAATTCAAGACAGGTCCATTGGTGAGCTTTTAAATTATTAATTGGTTATATTTACTCATCCTGAACAGAGCCAACACCAAGAGCAGAAACTTAACAGCAACTAAACTCTAGCTGAAGATAAACCACTTAGCTCTATTCCCGGAGTTCAGAATGTAATTAGTATATCACCTATAAGATAAAGAATGTTTTTGGGGCGCCTGGGTGGCTCAGTGGGTTAAGCCTCTGCCTTCGGCTCAGGTCAGGGTCTCAGGGTCCTGAGACTCTTGGGCTCTCTGCTCGTCGGGGAGCCTGCTTCCCCCCACCCCCCTCTGCCTGCCTCTCTGCCTACCTGTGATTTCTCTCTCTGTGTCAAATAAATAAAATAAAATTAAAAAAAAAAAAAAAGAAAAAGAATGTTTTCAATATCTGAATGTATGTATGAATAGAGCTTATTAGGTAGCATCTGAATTAAGGAGATTTGTTATATTTTTCTAAGTAATTAACAGATTTTTTTAAGAGTAATGTAACTTAAAGTATCACATGAAATTGAAATTGAACAGTTCAGCCAACTAACCTGACCAATGTCAATGTTTAAATTAAAGAAACTTCTAAAAGAGAAATGAGTGACAATGCTTATTAGTTGTATCATTGTATATTTACTACCATTTTATTGGTGCCATTCACTATTCTGAATGCTTTACAGAGTTCATAGATAAGGAAGCTGAGGGCAAAAGGGCTACACAGCTAGCAATTAGCAGAGATTAAAATCCAAGCTGGTTACATACAAAACAGACGACTCTCAGAATATAATGTTGAACGAAGAGGCCAGAAACAAAAAAATATCATATGATTCCATTTTCACCAAGTTCGACATCATGCAAACCTAATAATATGTTAGAAGTCAGGATAGCAGTGACCTTTGGGGAGGAGGAAGGGGGTGGTCATCAAGGGGGATCATGAGTAGAACCTCTGAGATGCCATGTATGTTCTATTTCTTGACCTTGGTGGGGTTAGTGGGATATATTCACTTTGGAATGATTTATCAAGCCATACATATATAATTTATGCAACTTACACTAAATTTTATTTTTAAAAAGCAAATAAATAAAGGTACATAGTATTAAAGTCAAACTTCATCTTTTAAAAAAAAAAAGACAGTAATCTATTTAAAATGGCCACTGGAATTAGATACTATAAATACTCTGAGGGACACTTGGATGATTCAGTTGGTTTGGTGTGTCTGCCTTCAGCTTGGTCATGATCCCAGGGTCCTGGGATGAAGTCCCACATTCAGGCTCCTTGCTCGGGGGGAGCTTGCTTCTCCCTCTGCCTGCCACTCCCCCTGCTTGTGCTCTCCCTCTCCCTCTCTGACAAATAAATACATACATACTTCAACACTAAAACCACTATTCAGATAATATGGCCATTCAAATTCAGTGAAAATTTAATAGAACATTAATTTTAAGACTGTATTCTCTGTATGGCAATAGAGACATTTCCTCTAAACATTCCTTAAACTCATGAAAAAGTATTTGCAAATCATATCAAAATAATCTTTAAAAAGATTTTATTTATTTGACAGAAAGAGAAATCACAGTATGCAGAGAGGCAGACAGAGAAAGAGGGGGAAGCAGTCTCCCTGCTGAGCAGAGAGCCCAGTGCAGGGCTTGATCCCAGGACACTGAGATCATGACCTGAGCCAAAGGCAGAGGCTTAATCCACTGAGCCACCCAGGTGTCCCCATACCAAACTTAAGCACTGAAATTTAGTAACAGAGGCTATAAGTTGCTCTGAAATTTCAATCTTAAACTTTATTTTTAAAATTTTTAAAAAAGATTTTCTTTCTTTATTTGAAAGAGCGAGCGAGCACAGGTAGGCAGATCAGGAGATAGAGGGAGAGGAGAAGCAGGCTCCCCACTGAGCAGAGAGCCCGATGTGGGGCTCGATCCTAGGACCTGGAGATCATGACCTGAGCCAAAGGCAGATGCTTAACCAACTGAGCCACCCAGGCACCCCTCAACCTTAAACTTTAAATCTTCTATATATACAGCATAATTTTCCATGGACAATAAACTGCAAACCAATAAACATAAGCACAGAGACATTACCTACCTCTACACTGGAGACCAAGTAGAAAGCATAACATATACAGACACTATTGAGTGTCTTACCTTTTATATCTTACTCCAGGATTTTCATCCAGGGTAGCACACACTGTAACTATCTGCTCAGCCATTGCTTCCATAATGGCATCTTTTCCATTTGCATTACCAGGGTCTGGACTGTAACAGTAATAGAATGCATCTGGTACATCAAGAGTATAAACCTAAGTTAGGCCGAGAAAAAAAAAAAAGTCAAACTGTTGTTAATTTGGTGATGTAATGAAAAAAAAATCAATCAAGAAAAATGCAGCTATTATTTGGACATCAAAAGAAATAACTTGCACTAACCACGCTGTTTCCTGAGATCACTGTGTCTTTACCTTAAACAACTCTCATTTTCTCTCTGTCCTCTTGATTTCATCCTTATTTCTTTTCTCTCTCATTTTCTCCTTAGTCTACCTCTCTCCTTCAGTTCTTGTTTCATATATAGATTGTACTGTTTGTTTTTTCACTACCTGTGCAACAGATGAAGGAATCTGAGGTAGTCAAACTAAAATAAAAATCTAATACCTGGCACAAATACAACAAAGACAAAACTGGTCTATATATTTGACATACATTAAAAATCTTAATCTAGGGGCGCCTGGGTAGCTCAGTGGGTTAAGGCCTCTGCCCTCCGCTCGGGTCATGATGCCAGGGCCTGGGATCGAGCCCCGCATCGGGCTCTCTGCTTGGCAGGGAGCCTGCTTCCTCCTCTCTCTCTCTGCCTGCCTCTCTGCCTACTTGTGATCTCTGCCTGTCAAATAAATAAATAAATAAAATCTTTAAAAAAAAAAAATCTTAATCTATTAGAGAATAACCTAGAACTTTCCCATAATTGAGATGTTTCTTCAATTCTTTAGCTTATACTCTTCATGCCTTTAAAATAGAAACATATTTTCCAAAAACACAGTATTGTGCCAGACATAGTAATTGGTCTAATCACAGATACAATGAAACCTCAAAGACACAGTCATTCAACTAACAAAAGCATTTACTTATGTATAAAGAACTGGATTAGAGATTTACTATTATTGTGTTATTTGAAGAGTACAAAAGAAGAAGTTCTCTAATTGGGGTTGGGAGTTCTCTATTAAACTTATTTTTATTTTTTTTTTAAACAAAATATATTAGCATATTTTATAGCAATTCCTCTTAGCCTAGGATAACGTATTGAGTGTAAAAATAGGTATGTAATAAATATTATAGGTTAACTACTGAATTATGAATAACCCTCCTTGTGAAAGTTTCTTTTCACTGTACATTCATTTCTCTGAACATAACACATAACCAACAGCAACAGGCTGAACGTAGACTGAGATTTAGCCATAGCTAATCCACTTCTGTCTGTGTTGCTCAAAGTCTTGGCTGTTGTATTAACCTCCAAAAAGCACTTCTTAGAGTACACTATCACACAATGGGAGATAATATCTGTTCAAAAATACTTACTGCCCTGGGAAGACATGAACAGACATTTCTGCAAAGAAGACATCTAATGGCCAACAGACACATGAAAAAGTGCTCAACATCACTTGGCATCAGGGAAATACAAATCAAAACCACAATGAGATACCACCTCACACCAGTCAGAATGGCTAAAATTAACAAGTCAGGAAACAACAGATGTTGGGGAGGATATGGAGAAAGGGGAACCCTCCTACACTGTTCATGGGAATGCAAGATGGTGCAGCCATTCTGGACAACTTAAAAAGTTGTAAATAGAGCTATTTATGTCCCAGCAATTGCACTACTGGGTATTTACCACAAAGACACAAATGTAGTGATCCGAAGGGGCATGTGCAACCCAGTGTTTACAGCAGCAATGTCCACAATAGCCGAATTATGGAAAGAGCCCAGATGTCCATAGACAGATGAATGGATAAAGAAGACATCGTATGCGGAGAAAGGGGAACCCTCCTACACTGTTGGTGGGAATGCAAGCTGGTGCAACCACTCTGGAAAACAGCATGGAGGTTCCTCAAAATGTTGAAAATAGAACTACCCTATGACCCAGCAATTGCACTGCTGGGTATTTACCCTAAAGATACAAACGTAGTGATCCGAAGGGGCACGTACACCCGAATGTTTATAGCAGCAATGTCTACATTAGCCAAACTATGGAAAGAACCTAGATGTCCATCAACAGACAAATGGATAAAGAAGATGTGGTATATATACACAATGGAATACTATGCAGCCATCAAAAGAAATGAAATCTTTCTATTTGCGACGACGTGGATGGAACTAGAGGGTATCATGCTTAGCGAAATAAGTCAATCGGAGAAAGACAACTATCATATGATCTCCCTGATATGAGGGAGAGGAGATGCAACATGGGGGATTAAGGGGGTAGGAGAAGAGTAAATGAAACAAGATGGGATTGGGAGGGAGACAAACCATAAGTGACTCTTAATCTCACAAAACAAACTGAGGGTTGATGGGGGGAGGGGGGTTTGGAGAGGGGGGTGGGGTTATGGACATTGGGAAGAGTATGTGCTATGGTGAGTTCTGTGAAGTGTGTAAACCTGGCAATTCACAGACCTGTACCCCTGGGGATAAAAATATATTATATGTTTATTTAAAAAAAAAAAAGACATTGTATATAGATACAGTGGAATATTATGCAGCCATCAAAAATGAAATCTTGCCATTTGCAATGATGTGGATGGAACTAGAGGGGATTAAGCTAAGTGAAATAAGTCAGTCAGAGAAAGATAATTATATATGATCCCCCTGATATGTGGAGTTTGAGAAACGAGGCAGAGGATCATAGGGGAAGAGAGTAAAAAGTGAAACAAGATAAAACCAGAGAGGGAGACAAACTGTAAGAGGCTCTTTTTAAAAAAAAAATTTTAAATTTTTTATTAACATATAATGTATTATTAGCCCCAGGGGTATAGGTCTGTGAATCGCCAGGTTTACACACTGCACAGCACTCACCACAGCACACACCTTCCCCAGTGTCCATAAGCCAACCACCCTCTCCCTAACCCCCTCTCCCCAACAACCCAGACTCTCAATCTCTGGAAACAAACTGAGTGTGTAGAGTGGAGGGGGGTGGGGGGGGGGTGGCTGGATGATGGACACTGGGGAGGGTATGTGCTATGGTGAGCACTGTGAATTTTGTAAGACTGATGAATGACAGACCTATGCCCCCAAAACAAATAATACATTATATAGTAATTAAAAAAAAAACCCTTACTGGCCTGGGGTACCTGGGTAGCTCAATCAGTTAAGAGTCCGACTTGATTTGGCTCAGGTCATGATCTCAGGGTTGTGAGATCAAGCCCTGGGTTGGGCTCTGCACTGGGTGTCGAGCCTCCTTCAGATTCTCTCCCTCTCCCACCCCAACACCCCTGCTCTCTATCTCTCTCTCTTAACAAACAAAAAGTACTGCCCTTTCCTAAAGGGCCTCTCACTCACTGAAGTCAGCCTTGGCTATGGTCATTGTAATATGAATAGAAGTGACATGTGCTACTCCCCCTCAAAAGCTTTAAAAGTCATTCTGCATACATGGGTGAGGGAAGCCACTGTGTGACTCCATCATTTCTTTTTTCCCTCTGCCACATCCCAGACAAGTGCTGTTCCTTCAGCCTCAATGCTAGAATGAAGATATACAGAGCAAAGCCCCAGGAAAACCACAATGGACAATAACATGAATGAGAAATAAACTTGATTGTTGTTAATATACTGAGATTTAAGGAGCTGTTACCACAGTTTAAATTAATCTAAGCTACCTAATATTCCAATGAACCCAAGAGAAATTTGGAGTTGGTTTTCATTCTACCCTCACATTTTTTCCATTTTCTTCCTCTTCCTCTTCTCCACTTTCCATCACCACCATTACATGTTCCTTTACACTATTATCAAATACTTTCTTCAACTTTATGACCCATAATCAGCTCCTTAAATAAAGACTCTCTCCATCTCTATCTATTTTTCTTGCTAATCTATAACTGGCTTAGCTCTATTTCTACGTAGACACCATCTAGTACCCTCTATACTAACTACACCAGACTCTTTGTACTCCCTAAGGTCCACTGTAATCAAACTCCCCTATATTATTGAATGCTTTCCATCTAATTGCTTTAATGTGTATGTGATAGCACTAATTATCTTAAACCCTCTGAGAGGGAAAGAGAGAGGTTTCTTTAATCTCTAACTCAAATTCAAGAGTGAATCAACCTCCTTCCTCTCCACGCAACCTCTAAATGTGCTTAATGTCCAGCTTTTCTTTGGAGCACTAGTGTATGTGATTTTGACAATCTCTCCCCAGTGATTTCCTGACTTGTACTTTTCCTTAAAGACATTAGGACCAGTTCCATGGTCTTCTGTATCAGTGCATTTTCCACCACTATTCTCAGTGGGACCTGGCGCCTCCTACAACACAGTCCCAACCTACCTATAGCGATAGACTTATCTATCGTATCTTCACTCCTTATAATCTGTACTTCTGCTGTTTCCCTGCACTTTTCTGCTTCTATAACTTTGCATTCAGGCTATTTTCACTTTCCTCTTCTTTCCTTCTTCATTACTACCTTATGAAATTCTATTCATTCATTAAATATTTTCTCATTCTCCTAGTATGAATTAATCTCTCTTCTCTTGTGGTAGACTGTGAGCTGCCTCCCCCAAAACCACTCTTCCCTTAATTTTCAGTAACCATACCAATTCTTTGGAGGAAGCACCTACATATGCCTACATAAAAGACTACATTTATACACTTAAGTATACCCACATGACTAAATTTTAGCCGACAAGACATAAATGAAATCTATATATTTCCTTCTTTCTCTCTTTCACCTTGCTTCCTCAAATAAAGATGAAATGATTCTACAGTTACCTTGGATCATGAGGGTCATGCCTAGAGTAGGCCCCTGACAATTCTGTAGAGCCAGCATACCAGCCATACATAACCCATTTCCTGACTTCTTTTACATTAGGAAAAAATAAATTTCTATCTTGTTTAAGCTACTAAAAATAAATTTTTCTATTATATGCAGTTAAACTTGATCTTAATTGATATCATTTTGAAGATGTATAAATTCTTTGGATTTCTTTTATAGCACTCGGGTGCATGTAGGACATATACCATGCCCAGTAGAGCAAACCACTTGGCATCTAGCAGATGATGTCCACTGCACATGATCTTGATAAATGTTCATATATGCCTACACTCATAGCTCAAACCACTGAGTTGTATTTCATTTATATCTTCACTCATAAATGAACAAGAGTTCAAAATATTTTCACTATAATTTCTCCATAGCAGTTAAATTTACTAAGTAAACCCTCTGAAGATATTTATCAAGGAAATAAAGGCAAAACTTGATAAGGGGAAAAAAAGCAGACAGGACCTTAAATAATCACAACATTTTGCAAAGACCAGTAAGAAAATTCTCATGAGATTTCTCTATATAGACAAAGACAATTTATTTCCATCAACAATCAAATTGGTCAGAAAGCTACACAAATCTCTCCTTCAAATACAGCAACTGCAGAATTTTAATGAATTCTGAGACTAAAACTATATTTACCATCTGTACAGCAGATGCTCTGGATATGCTTGTAATATTTCTCATACTACCATTTATATCCCACATCATTTAGGAAGCCTATTTCACCCTACATTAACCTTACGTATCACATTCAAAGGAACAGGTCTAAGGTAACCTTTGGAAACAGTCTAATGTTAAACAGGTATCTTAAAATTTTATGATTTGGATTTTAATTTTTCTTTGCCCAAAACAGCAACAGCTTAAAGGAAAAAACCCTTTTCTAGGACCTTCCTGTCTCTTAATATATTGACCTTATAGTTCCAAACAACAGTGAGCTATTACAATTCTATGAAATGCTAGAATCCAAATACAGAGAACAGAGCACATCAGAGCTGAGAAATGTACTAGCTGTTTGATTTGGGGCAAGTTACTTAACTTTTTTGATTTCCCCATCTTTAAAATGAAGATAGGATTACTATCTATTCATAGAACTATTATGAGAATTTACATGAATATATTTATGGAAAACATTTAGGAAAGAGTCTGGCACATGGAGAATATGATATAGGTATTTCCTATCACCATTATTATTAATTGAAGGCTTATAACTATTCCAAAGTCAAAATGAACTTTAAAAATTAAAAATTTAAAAAAATTAAAAATTTCATAAATTAAGATAATCTCTATAATGCTATAGAAAATATTTATTGAAGAACATTTGTTTTAATATCACAGTCACAGAAGCTAAAATGATTTCGAGTCATCTAACATAGACTGCTCAAAATCTTTTGATTTCATAATCTAACAGTGCCGTAAAACTTGACATACACAGCACTTAGCAACAGTCATGAAATTTAAGCTCCACTTTCATGTTCTCTTCCAATTTATGCTCATCTCCTTTCCCTTATCATGAGAAATGATTATTTGTGGATTGTTCAAAATCACCAAATACACATAATAAAGTCTATTATGAACTAAAATTAAAAATAAAAAGAGAAAGTACCTGAGACTCAAGTGGAATGAAGGAAATATTTATTTCTTTACATCTTCTTATTGACTTGGAACAAGAAGCTTTAATTTTGTTAAAGAGACTATCAGGGCAAACTGAGAGAGAGGAAAAAAAAAATCAAAACATGTAACTCCATCTAAATTTTTATTCTTTTGAATAAATCATTTCAACATCCAAGAATATTTATTTTTTACATATAAATTAGTGACTTTTACAAAGTAATTTACTATGAGGATGAGATAATATGTAAATATTCTTCTTCCCTTTACAGAGCAGATATTCTAGCCAAGAGGGCAGTAATAGAAATTCCATTTTCTCCATTCATAGGCACCATAAGCTAAGATTATTTCCTTAAACTGCTGTTTACACAGTAAACTAAAATTATCAGGACAGAAAATCAGGTCCAAACCCACGACTTAATAAACTTTTACAGGACTTTCAGAACTTCTTAGGAATTTATACTACTTTTCTAAATCTGCCACTAAGTGCAACCATACCACACAAATTGTTAGTTTTTTTCCTTGTATATATTACAAGAACTTCTCTAATGTCAGGAAATCCTGAGACTAATAAATTCTGGACCTTAGAGTCTATTCCTCCCAAACCCACCTTTAATCTAGGTTGGAACATAACCACTGGGTTCTAGAGTCTTTCAACATTATATTCTTTAGCCTTAAGTTTCCTTAAGTTAAGAGGCTTCACATTCATTAAATTTTATCAATTCCATAAACACGAATTTCTGTATAATAAAATTATTTAAAAGATAAATAGGATGGCATGATACTTTTAAAATGAAAACTACTACAGGCATAAAATAATTACTTACAGGAAAAACAATATACTATTTAAAATGATGAATCTCTAATAGCACAGACCAAGGCGGCACTTAGATGAATGGCACTTTCATTTTGCAGTTTTATTATGTAAGGTATAACATAAAGCAGAATTATATGTGTTTCTAGACTTCTCTGTGATTCTTTACTTTAGCTGCTTTCTATTTGAACATATGGCATAGTAGAGAAATGTGACAGATTCTCTCCATTAATATTTGCCAAACAGATGGCAATTTCTTCAGTATTCTCCCAAAGGGTCTTATTTTTGATTATATAATCAAATACCCAATTAAAACTTTAATTAAAAAAATTTTATCCTATCATCAGCATAAAATTTGGGGGACAGCCTTCACCACCAACCCCCTACCACTGTATACCAGCAAAACATGGCTAATTCAGAATTTAATTTTCTATCACCTTAAATGAATTAGAATATGATATCTTTAGATTCTTTCTAACCTAATTAGAATAAGCCAATAAATAGAAAATCATAGTATTATAATAGTATTATAAGAAATAACTAATAATTGATAGATTTTAAACAATGAAATAATACTTCTACAAAGCTACTTACAGTCAGTGAAGTATATATATGCTGCTTTGTATTTGTTCTCAGATTTACTTGCAAAATCACGTAAAAAACAGTCTACAGACTTAAAAAAGGTTAGATGTTAATATACATATAATCAAATACTAAATTAAATATGCTAGGTGTTTGAAATAACCAAGATTCTTTTTTATAATAAAACAAAATCTTAACTTTCCAAAAGTTTACTTTATAAACTGATTTTTTTAAAATGCTATTTTGTCTAGCCAGTAATAGTGAAAAACCTAAGTAGTAAGGTAATATGTTATGAACAGAGTACTGTTTCGGCAATGAGAAGATCCGGGAACAATTCAGTGAAAGGGAAGCTAAACCCACACATAAGATTAGAAGGTAACAAATCAAGGAGTTGAGAAGCCAATGAACATACTAGAAAGGTTATCTACCTAGATAATGAAGCCACTGGCTATGACTGAAGAGGAGCTGAAGAGAGTTAACAGTGAGCTAGGAGTAAAATTGTCAAGGGATAATGAAAGACCTAGAGGTTGGGAAATGACTACAAGGAGAAGGAATGGCAGGTAATACAATCTGGTAGTTCTTACATGCCTCAGTGCTGATAATTTTACTTATTTAATTTTTTTTAGTGTTGGTAGTTTTAAAGATACAATGGTTTGGCAGCAAAAATGAAGAATTTAGAATTTAATGCTCTCTTCTCCATCTGTTCCGTTACCTCCTTCTGGAAGTCCTAGAACTATTTCTGTTAGATCTCATGGCTCTATCCAGCAAGTCTCTTATCTTTCCCCCATAATTTCCATGACTTTTTTTTTTCTGCTGAGATGTTCCATTTTGATCTTCTAGGCTACTAATTCAAATTTCAATGATAATTATTCTTTTCTGCAATGAACTGTTTAACTGAGAAATCACATTTTTGAACTTCAGGAAGTTTTTTGTGTGCTATACTAAACTCTCCTTATGCGTATTATTTTTCTGTTCAGGTCATCATTCTTCTCTCCAAGCAGCTATATTTTGTAAGGTGTGTATTCTCTTCATTCTTACTGAACTTCTTCTCTCTGACAGCTTGACCCACTTAGATGTGTCAGTGCTTTCCTTTGTCAGTTCACTGGAGGCTTAGATTTATTGTTGGAGAATCCTAAATAAAGGCAGTTCCACAAAAGGAGGAAGGCAAAAAGATTTCCCCTCTTGAGGGCTATAGGTATATAAGCAAACAAACCACCAGGGCTTCTCTTTTTCACCAACCAACCTTTCCCCTGGGGTCCAGAAAATCTCTTAAGAGCCAAACTCTTCTGAAATCTGTTATTTTATGACCCCTGGTTGGGAATACTCTGATGCTAGTCTCCAGGGGCTCACCTAGCCACTGAGGAAGGAAGTCTCTCACTAGGTTTCTCCACTAGTGCCCAATGAGCCTAAGCCCTCACTGGTACCCACATGGCTATAGGACACAGTAACTGACTAAGAACTGAAACAGAAACTGGAGTTGGTTATAGTAGAAAAAGGAGCCACATTCAGGTATCATTTTCTCTGAGTCTTTTGCTCCTTTACTAAATACACAATTTTGTATCCCCTTTCTGTCACTTAACAATAAAAATGAACAATTACCTAAAGCACTAAAATTTCCTAGAAATCTCATTTCCAATGGCCACATAGTCTTCCATACAATTATCTGTTAATGCTAAGAATTAGCGTTAGGATATAAAATGTCACTAAAACCTACTAGCAGCCAGGGGCACCTGGGTGGCTCAGTCAGTTAAGCATGACTCTTGGTTTTGGCTCAGGTTGTGATCTCAGGGTCCTAAAGTCAAGCCTCACATCAGGCTCCCTGTTCAGTGCAGAATCTGCTTGAGTTTCTCTCTCCCTCTCCCTCTGCCCCTCCTTCCCACTCTCTCTCTCTCTAAAATAAATACATGAATCTTTAAAAAAAGAAAAACACCAGTAACCAATATGCAGAGACTAAACAGTGAATATCTGGTTTTCCTTTCTGCTGTCTAACAGAATCAGAAGAAATGAAACTGGAATTGCTAATCTAACATTCTGAGTTGGAATAAACCAAAGGATGTACTGGAAAATTCATTCTCAGATGCTGCAGAGAAAAAGGAATCTGGTATTTACTTAGATCTAAAAGTCTGGCTTTAGGTATGAGCTCAATCACTGATCATAAACTGAGATATTCCTTTGACATAAAAAATTTATTTACATACACAATTATATGCATATATACATGTGTGCATATGTATAAATAAATGTATGCCATAGAGAAGTCACTAAGATAAAGGAGTAATCCAAGATTATTTCTTTTATGTACATTTCTGTCATCCCAAAAAATATGACTGCACAGGAACATCGCTGAGTAACAAATTACTCAAAGAAACTCTACTGTTTTATACAATTAAATTCTGCTTTCATATATGGGGGGAGGGGAGAGAATTCTTTCACTTATATATATATTCTCATTGAGAAGAGTGCAAATGAAACAATTTTCTAACATAGAAAAACTTTTCCTAAGCAAACTAGTTTATGGCACTATTTTTCTAATAAAGAATGTTTCATTTGAATTTTCTATGAGAAAATGAGGTCAATGGTAAATGATGAACATAACTTTTAAAGATTCAAAATACTCACCTTTGATGTTGGAGAGATAAAATAAAGAGCTTTCATTTGTCTGACAGGTTCTCGATTCTTATAAATATTCTCCACAACTAATAAAAAAAAACAATTTTATAAAACCAAACACTGGAAACAATTTTAAAATAAGCTTTACTTCTTATTTATAATAGGGAAACACATTTACATATACTGGGTTTAACATTTTTTTTGGCTCCATCTAAAAATAAAAAAATCCCCAAAATGTAGGGATGCCTGAGTGACTCAGTCAGTTAGGCGTCCAACTTTTGATTTTGGCTCAGGTCATGATCTCAGGGTCTGGGGATTGAGCCCCACATAAGGCTCCATGCTCAGCACAGAGTCTACTTGTCCCTCTCCCTTCCGCTCTGCCACTTGTACCTTCTCTCTCTCTAAAATAAAAAAAGAAATAAAATCTTAAAAAAAAGTACCAAAATGTACCTTCCCTAAAACGAAACTCTGGTCTAAGTGCTCTAAAGAGAAAAAGAAGATAAAGCAGCTATTTCATAGTTGGGTCTACCAGCATAAGCAAGCAACATGCCATGAAGCAAGCAAGAAAAATACAGGAAAAATTAAAATACGTATTCCTTTTAAAAAATATTTTACTATAATAGCAATATGATACCAGATATTAGGTTAAGCACTTAACATGAATTATCTGTTAAACCTTATAGTAAGTTTTATACAACAAACCTATAAGTTAAGTATTTTACAAATGAGGAAACTAAGGCTTGAAGTTGTTAAACAACTTGTCGAAGTTACACAGCTAGAAAGTAAAACAGGTAAGATTCCAACCCAGATCTGTTTGACTCCAGAATCCAAGTTTTAACTACTAATATTCTTCAAATAAACTCCTAATTAACTTATTCTTTTAAAACTATGAGGGCGCCTGGGTGGCTCAGTGGGTTAAAGCCTCTGCCTTCGGCTCAGGTCATGATCCCAAGGTCCTGGGATCGAGCCCTGCATCGGGCTCTCTGCTCAGCAGGGAGCCTGCTTCCTCTCTCTCTGCCTGCCTCTCTGCCTACTTGTGATCTCTGTCTGTCAAATAGATAAATTAAAAAAAAAAATCTTTAAAACTATGCAATACTGATAAAGTATTTTTAATAATGAAATATCAAAATTTACTCAATTATAGTTTTATTATTGAAATTAAGAGGTTCATAAAATTAACTTATGTGAAACGAAGAAAATTTAGAACTAGTACACTCAAAATTGTCAAATTAACTGTTAAAGCTATATTAAAAAAAAAAACCAAAAAACTGAAGTATCATTCCACAAATCAAGAGAACCATCTTTTAAGACTAAAGCTGTCAAAAAAAAAAAAAAAAAAAGACTAAAGCTGTCAAGAGTCCCGGAAAGAATTAAAAAGATTAAACTTGGGGCACCTGGGTGGCTAAGTCAGTTGAGCATCCAACTCTTGATTTTGCCTTAGGTCATGATCTCAGGGTTATGGGATCAAGCCCTGTGTGGGGCTCCGTGCTCAGTGGGGGGTATGCTTGAGACTCTCTCTCCCTCTGCCACCTCCAACTTGTATGCAAGCACACTCTCTCTAAACAAAATAAATAAATAGGTACGCCTGGGTGGCTTAGTCTGTTAAACATCTGCCTTTGGCTCAGGTCATGATCCCAGGGTCTTGGGATGGAGTCCCGCAATAGGTTCCCTGCTCAGCGGGAAGTCTGCTTCTCCCTCTGCCTGCTGCTCACCCTGCTTGTGCTCTCTCTCTGACAAATAAAGAAAGAAAGGAAGGAAGAAAGAAAGAAAGATAGATAGATTATTCTGACAGGGAGATTACTCTGATAGGGAGGCTACTGTTGGGACTTCTCTGGTAAATTTGGTGATTCATCTTTTTCCTCCCTACATTTATACTAGTAAAGTATAGGTTTATCATAGCTTCTATTAGGATGTCAAATAAGGTTTCCAAGGGTATATTTAGTTTTAGCTCCAATCCCAACAATTGTAATTTCAACTTTAAAAGATTAAGGTTAGTTGGGCACCTGGGTAGCTCAGTGGGTTAAGCCTCTGCCTTTGGCTCAGGCCAGGGTCCTGGGATCAAGCCCCGAATCGGGCTCTCTGCTCAGCAGGGAGCCTGCTTCCCCCTCTCCCTCTGCCTGCCTCTCTACTTGTGATCGGTCTCTCTGTTAAATAAATAAATTAAAAATCTTAAAAAGAAAAAAAAAAAAGATTAAGGTTGGGGTGCCTGGGTGGCACAGTCAGTTAAGCAACCAACTCTTGGTTTCAGCTCAGGTAGTGAACTTGGGGTCATGAGATCAGGCCCTGAAACTGGTTTCACATTGAGTCTGCTTCAGATTCTCCCTCTCTTTCCCTCTGTCCCTCCTGCTTGTGCTCTTTCTCTCTCTCAAATAAATAAATTTTAAAAGAAAAAAAGAGATCAAGGTTAAATCTTATAAGCTTTTTATCGCTTAACCCTCAAAATGAAGTGTCTTACAGTCATCTTATGCTACATATATTATGTTTGGTGAGTAATGTACATGTTAAAATGTGAAAATACTATGATATGATTTAGAAAAGACTTTGAAAATACTCTTAAATATCTGGTTATTAATAGCACAAAGTGCCACTTCTTTAATTCCTGGAAAATGGATATCTATTAAGAGATTTTTTAAAAAGATTTTTATAATTATTCCTATAACAGTGACAAAGGAATAATCTAACTCCCAGTCTATTTTTTAAAAGGATTCTACTTAGCTTTACTCTTCATTGATGTAGCATCCTACATTCATTTTTTCTCATCAATTTTTTAAAACTTCTAAGACACTACTGAATATTTTAACGAAATGACCTGAATGATGACAGAAAGTATGATCACTGAAACTGCAATGCCAAGTCTAATTGAGGGAATCTCAATTTGAGAGCCCATGTGGGACTCAAAAGGACTGTGCAAGTTCAAGTTGGTAGATATTATGATGATTAAACCAGAGCAAACCGAGATGACAACAGAGGATATAAGGAAGCAATGTGCTCCATGATAAACAGTCCTTATGAAATGCTTCTAAAAAAAAAAAAAAGCTTTCAGTGGTCAAATTATTAGAAAACTGAGTACTACACCTAAACCCAGGGGAATCCACATACCTGATAGCATATAAAAAAAACCTCTGGAAAGTCCCAAACTTACTTGGCAACAGAATCTTTTCCTTGAAGAGTATCTATGAACACTGAACATACAGAAAGAACAATGGTCTAGAAAAATTCAATAAAACCTTACAGTGCAAAATTGTTCTGTAGCTTCACAGCTTTTATTCACATTAACAAATGCTTCTCACTCTAGTTGCAAATCAGAATGACCTCTGGAAACTTAAAAAACTTCATGGCTTAATCAATATTACATTTGTCCAACGGCAGAAAAATCAAGGCTTTAATCTTCTAATTTCTAGTTGAGAGCTTTTTCCACTGAGAAGACCATAAATACCATAAAGACAAACAAATATATATTATAAATTATATATTACAAATATATAATCAAAATAAAATATTATATGTTAAAGATCTGACATATAAATATCAAAATAAACATTATAAAAACTTTCAGATAATCCTCCTGTTGTACACAATGCTCAGGTTTTCTTGAAAATACTGGTGTAGGGGCACGTGGGTGGCTCAGTGGGTTAAGCCTCAGCCTTCAGCTCAGGTCATGATCTCAAGGTCCTGGGATCCAGCCCCGTATCGGGCTCTCTGCTCAGTGGGGAGCCTGCTTCCCCTCTCTATCTGCCTGTCTCTCTGCCTACCTGTGATCTCTCTCTGTCAAATAAATAAATAAAATTAAAAAAAAAAAAAAAAGAAAGAAAGAAAATACTGGTATACATTTGAACCTCACAAGTAGCAGTGACAGAGGGTACACATTCTACATTAAATTCCAAAATATAAAATAATTATATTTGACTTTTTAAAAATTTTATTTATTTGAGAGTGAGAGCTAGAGAGAACGAGCACATACAGAGGGGAGAGGGAGAAGCAGACTTCCTGCTGGGCAGGGAACCCGACACAGGGCTCGATCCTAGAACCCTGGGATCATGACCTGAGCTAAAGGCAAATACTTAATGAACTGAGCCACCCAGGCACCCCTATATTAAACTTTGAGCCTCGGTTTCCTCATTACCAGTGAGGGTATTTCAAATCTCTTTAAAGGGTTGTCATGGATCATACAAAACCATTATCAAATATATAAGAGTTAAAAATTTCAGTAACAAACTCAACAAGGCAACTGACTTAGTTTTGGTCAGGGGCACTGAATTATAATCTCAGCTGAAGAAAACTTCCAAGGGTTATTCTGAAGATCCACAGAGAAAAGAATGTCCAGTGAATAAAACATAACCCCCTCAGAAACACAATGACTAAATAAAATTTATTAATACTTCAAACTTCCCCAATCACAATAAAAAAAGTTTTGATGATGAGTATTGGTAACACTTACCAGTTATACCCTCTGCTAGAAGATCTGTCATTTTGCAACATGATGCCAAAAGCTTAGTGGTAAAGTCATCTAAAAGCATGATCTTAAAATGAATATAAATTAAAAAAGTATAAGGACTTGATTGCCAAGAATTCACAAAACACAGAATTTAATACATTAAACCCACTCAAATACAGACCTTATATTACATAAAATGAAAATATTAGGACAGCAGGCAAAATTATCTCAACTCACCTTTTAACTTGTATGACCTGGAGATTTATTTTCTCAATACACATACATATAATATCATAATAAGTAAGCAAATAGAAACATTTCCATTTTGAAGAAGAGAACTTTATTTATTTTTGATAACTTGTTCATTTTAAATTTATCTTGTGTTTAACATCAAATTTTCTTAAAATTATAAAATTCCACTTCTGGAATAATAAATGTTCCAGGTGCTATTCTAATCATTTGCCATGGATTAATTCATTAATCTTTACAACACACCATGAGGTAATACTATCCCTATTTTATAAACATGGAACAGAGAGATCAAGTAATTTATCCAAGAAGTCACAGCTATCAAGTGGTGAAGCTGGGATCTGAACGCAATCAGTACAGTTCCAGACTACACCGTTACAGAAGTATAATAAGGACAGTATATTGATGTCCTCAATTAAAGGGCAAAATATGCGAATTTTACCTTCCATTCGCCTTCTTTCTTGCAGTCATCAAACACTGTTGCTTTTATCTCTGCCAAAAAAAAAAAAAAATTATGAATCTTAATCAACAGCTAGAAAAATAATAATAGAGTACTCAAAAACAACTATATCAAAATCATTGGGAAAGTATCCAATTGAAAATCTGTTAACCTACATAAAAAGTGTAGATACCTGTTAAATTCTAAGTAAAAATCCAGTTATTATTAATACCTAACATTTATAAATCTATTTTTAGAGAGACAGCACGCATTCATACCCAACTGGGGGAGGGGCAGAGGAAAAGAGAACCTCAAGCAGACTCCCTCCTCACTCCCCCATGCCTGAGTGGGGGAACCCAACTGGGGACTCCATCCCATGACATTCAGATCAGACCTGAGCCAAAATAAAGATTGGGACACTCAACTGACTGAGCCACCCCGGTGTCCCCTACTTATATTTAAATTGTAATATGTTTTTAAACTTTTGAGAATAAAAGTATTATGAAAGGGAGTCTGGGTCGCTTAGTTGGTTAAGCGACTGCCTTCAGCTCAAGTCACAATCCTTGAGTCCCAGGACGGAGTCCCACATTGGGCTCCCTGCTCAGCAGGGAGTCTGCTTCTCCCGCTGACCCCCCTCCTCTCACTCTCTCTCTCAAATAAATAAATAAAATCTTAAAAGAATAGTATTATGAAAGGCTAATATACTTAAGAATATATTTCAGTATGTAAATATATCTCGAAAATATTTCTGAAACTATTAACTGATTTGCTTTCTCCTATTCTACTTAAATCCCAAGTAAATAAGATGAAAACAAATCTCATAGGAAAATCCCATTGCTAAATTATATCTGACAATTGAAACTAGTTACTTTTCTTCCTGGTTTACTGCATTACAATTTTCAACAATTTATATTATAGCACTAGATACAAATATCCACTCTTCATTTATAATCAATAAATATTTACATGTTCCTTTCAATGATATTCAAAATCTAAATATATTTTTTAAATTAGTTCACTGATTTATAAAAATTTTTTTCTTATATATTAAAAATACATAGGCAATTCATACAAATATCTATTGTTCACTTCATAATAAGCAATTCCCCACATTTAATAGTTCGTTAATTTTCAATTTTTTTTTTAAAGATTTTATTTATTTATTTGCAAGACAGACAGTGAATGAGAGATAGCATGAGAGGGGAGGTCAGAGGGAGAAACTTGTGGAGTTGAGAGCTCAATGCGGGACTCAATCCCGGGACTCCGGGATCATGACCTTAGCCAAAGGCAGTTCCTTAACCAACTGAGTCACCTAGGTGCCCAATTTTCAATTCTGAAAATAATAAGTGGTATGTAATAAATAAAATAGAATTAAAATATAAATTATAGTAACTTCTAATTTCACTAATTCCTGGTATGAGATGTTTATATAATTCATTTGAACTTTTCTAATTTAAGTTAATGCTTGTAGAAATATACCATCAATTTTTGGCATCACATTAAAAAATGAAATATTCAAGCAGGGTGTATTTAATAAGGATTTACTAATGCTCATCATAAGAAGTGTGATCTGGAAGGTTTTACTGTAATTGGGAAGGCCTGAACGTGTTAAGAAATACTAGTTAAGGTGCTTAGATATGTTTGCTAGGAAGATTATAATAATAAGTGAGAATAATGGCAAAAGCCTAGAATGTTGAATGCTAGTTTAAGCCTAAAGCACTGATTTCCTCTACTCTATAGGCAGAGATGGGGATTTTCTCAGGCAGAGTTCAGACACTAAAATATTATGCTACTTCCCTTTCTAAGCTTGCTTTATTTCTATATACCTTAAGTTGAAAATCAAAGAAACAAACGCTCATGGAATTTATGATGGAGCAGATTGAAGAGTTCCCTTGGAAGAACTCATCTCATTATAATCTTTAGAACCTTAGAAACTACACTGTTTCTATACTGCAACTAGTTACATATCACTATTGAGCACTTAAAATTTGGCTAGCCCCTGAATTGGGATGTCCTGGAAGTATAAAACACACAACAGATTTCAAAGACGTAGTACAAAAAAAGAAATGGGGGGCGCCTGGGTGGCTTGGTGGGTTGGGCCTCTGCCTTCAGCTCAGGTCATGGTCTCATGGTCTCAGGGTCCTGGGATCGAGCCTCGAGTCGGGCTCTCTGCTCGGCGGGGAGCCTGCTTCTCCTTCTCTCTCTGCCTGCCTCTCTGCCTGCTTGTGATCTCTGTCAAAAAAATAAATAAAAAATTAAAAAAAAAAAAGAAATGGAAAATATCATTAATTTTTTAATTTTTACATGTTTAAATGATAACATTTTAGAAATTTATTATTAAAATACTCTATCAATTTCTCTACTTTTCTTTAATGGGGCTATTAGAAAAGTTTAAATTATTTATGTGGCTTGCATTCTATTTCTACTGGATAGTGCTGCCTTGGAATCCAAAGATACCTAGATAGTGTCAGCATCTTAAAAATAAACAATAAAGAGATAAGTAGCTTTGTGGACTAGAAATTAGGGGCATCCATGAAAAGTGATAGGATCACAGGTAAGGTATGTTTGGAAGGACATCAAAGGAAATCATATCAACTAACATTTACAGAACTAAGAAGGTATTTCCTCCAAATACTAATGAAAATTATATGACCTTACATACATTTCTCTAGCACCCCAAATATGGATATATTGCAAAGATTCAATTCCTTCAGTCGGCTTGCTCTACTCTCTTCCTCAGAAACCTTATTAATTCTTAAAAGTTTCATCTATCACACCCACCCTTCACTTTTTTCCCAACATTATTGAGATGTAACTGACATAAAACACAACTTTAAGATACACAATGTGTTGACTTGATACACATAGATTGTAATATAATTACAACTGTAATGTTACTTAACATCTCCAACACCTCACATAATTACCATCCTTTTAGTTATTTTGGGAGGTGAGAACATTTAAGATCTATCTACCTTAGCAACTTTCAAGTATATAGTACAGTGTTGTTCTCTATAATCATACTATATGCATTACATCCCCAGAACTTATCTTCTCACTGTAAGTTTGTACTCTTTGACCAAGTTCTCCCCATATCCCGTAACCCCAGCAGTCCTTCTATTTTCTACAAATCTTATATCTTACCCTTCATATCTTATATCTTATCCTTCAATTATGCAGTATAGGTTTAAGCTCCTATATGCCTCAAACTGAAATTATAGTTCCCTAAAAACTTCTCTATTGCTAAGACTTCTCCATTTCTAAGAGGTTTCATTGGCATTTTCTTAGTCATAGTCTTTGGATATTTCCTCTGTTCCCCCATATCCAATAAAAAGGCAGTGTTGATTGTTTTTTCTGGCGACTGCCACTATCCCAACATTGCCTTGATTCAAATCATCTCTCACTGAACTACTGCAATAGTCTCCTACTTGGATTTCCTGCTTTCTACCTCCAACCCCTTTGCCAGTTCAATCCATTTTTTCCACACTGCTGTCAGTTATCTTCTTGAAGCACAATATTCTGTTTACATCAAAGCCCCCCTTGAAATTCTCTTAAGCACTCACTCCTGCCTACAGAATAAAATTTAGATTTTACTATTCAACAGCCTCTAGCAAGTGGCCTCTGACTACTCTCTAAGTTGATTTTCCACCAGTCCAAATGCTACCCAAGTAACAACTTATTAATGCCAACCACCCTGCTTTGCTCATTCTTTCTCCTAAACGTAAAAGGAGATATATTTAAATATAATACCAAAGAGGAAATGAAAACTTTGAAGGGAAAAATGAGACTAGAGCTAATTTAGTGTGCATCAGCAATGTGGAAGGTATATTGTACAGCTATCTTCAATCACAGAGAAACTATTAATAAACCTGGTGACAACACAAACTGGTTTGTCCGGAAAATAGGAAATCATCTATGAATAACAGTTTTTAAGGAAACCAAAAAGCCTAGCAATGTGTAATTCATAAAGGAAGTAAGAGGGGAAAAATACCAGTACTAAAAACAATCTCAACATGGACCTGGAAAAGGCACCCTTCCCTCTTTATCTGTTCTTATCTAAATCCAGATCTCAAATTCAGCTCCTTTTTCTATGATTTATACCTATGTATCTCCATCTGCTCACTAGATACCGCAACTTTTCACTTAACACTGTGTTCTGAACCTAAACTGCTTTTTCCCTCCAAAACTGTTCCTTCTCTTTCCCTTTACCAATAAACAGCATCATCTGCGGCCTAGTCTCCCAGACCTGAATCCTAGTCTAAGATGACTCTCCCCCAGCTTAAATCCTATTTATTCTATCTCCAGAATCTCTCTCATACTCTCCATCTGTTTTCTATCTCCTTTGCCACATTTGGCCTTCTTTCTTGGACCAACACTGTAACAGTGCCAGTCTCTTTGCCTCCCACTCCAATTTTTCATCCTGCTCTAACATCTATGAGGGTTTTTCTCTAATAATCAGATTATTACAAAAATGGAATCAACATATATCCATTACTCTGTCACTTGCTTGTTTTCATTAAATATACGTTAAAGATACCCTTTATACAGAATATAAACACACAGATACAAATACTTCTTTTTGGGGCGCCTGGGTGGCTCAGTGGGTTAAGCCGCTGCCTTCAGCTCAGGTCATGATCCCAGGGTCCTGGGATCGAGTCCTGCGTCGGGCTCTCTGCTCAGCAGGGAGCCTGCTTCCCTTCCTCTCTCTCTGCCTGCCTCTCTGCCTACTTGTGATCTCTGTCAAAT